GAATACACAGTGGAAGTGAGGAACAGGTTTAAGGATTTAGATTTGGTGGACAGAGTGCCTGAAGAACTATGGATGGAGGCTCGTAACATTATACAAGAGGCAGCAACTAAAACCATCCCAACGAAAAGGAAATGCAAGAAAGCAAAGTGGCTGTCCAACGAGGCCTTACAAATAGCAGGGGAGAGAAGGCAAGCAAAATGCGAGGGAGATAGTGAAAGATACAGGAAATTGAATGCAGATTTCCAAAAAATAGCAAGGAGAGACAAGAAGGCCTTCTTAAACGAGCAATGCAAAGAAATAGAGGAAAACAATAGAATGGGAAAAACCAGAGATCTGTTCAAGAAAATTGGAGATATGAAAGGAACATTTTGTACAAAGATTACCATAATAAAAGACAAAAGTGGAAAGGACCTAACAGAAGCAGAAGACATCAAGAAGAGGTGGCAAGAATACACAGAGGAACTATACCAGAAAGAAATGGATGTCTCGTATACCCCAGGTAGTGTGGTTGCTGACCTTGAGCCAGACATCCTGGAGAGTGAAGTCAAATGGGCCTTAGAAAGCACTGCTAATAACAAGGCCAGTGGAAGTGATGATATTCCAGCTGAACTATTTAAAATTTTAAAAGATGATGCTGTTAAGGTGCTACACTCAATATGCCAGCAAATTTGGAAAACTCAGCAGTGGCCAGAGGATTGGAGAAGATCAGTCTACATCCCAATCCCAAAGAAAGGCAGTGTCAAAGAATGCTCTAACTACCACACAATTGCACTCATTTCACACGCTAGCAAGGTTATGCTTAAAATTCTACAAGGCAGGCTTAAGCAGTATGTGGACCGAGAACTCCCAGAAGTGCAAGCTGGATTTCGAAGGGGCAGAGGAACCAGAGACCAAATTGCAAACATGCGCTGGATTATGGAGAAAGCTAGAGAGTTCCAGAAAGACATCTACTTCTGCTTCATTGACTATGCAAAAGCCTTTGACTGTGTCGACCACAGCAAACTATGGCAAGTTCTTAAAGAAATGGGAGTGCCTGATCACCTCATCTGTCTCCTGAGAAATCTCTATGTGGGACAAGAAGCTACAGTTAGAACTGGATATGGAACAACTGATTGGTTCAAAATTGGGAAAGGAGTACGGCAAGGCTGTATATTGTCTCCTGCTTATTTAACTTATATGCAGAATTCATCATGCGAAAGGCTGGGCTGGATGAATCCCAAGCCAGAATTAAGATCGCCGGAAGAAATATCAACAACCTCAGATATGCAGATGATACAACCTTGATGGCAGAAAGTGAAGAGGAATTAAAGAACCTTTTAATGAGGGTGAAAGAGGAGAGCGCAAAATATGGTCTGAAGCTCAACAACAACAAAACGAAGATCATGGCCACTGGGCCCATCACCTGCTGGCAAATAGAAGGGGAAGAAATGGAGGCAGTGAGAGATTTTACTTTCTTGGGCTCCATGATCACTGCAGATGGTGACAGCAGTCACGAAATTAAAAGACGCCTGCTCCTTGGGAGAAAGGCGATGGCAAACCTAGACAGCATCTTAAAAAGCAGAGACATCACCTTGCCAACAAAGGTCCGTATAGTTAAAGCTATGGTTTTCCCAGTAGTGATGTATGGAAGTGAGAGCTGGACCATGAAGAAGGCTGATCGCCGAAGAATTGATGCTTTTGAATTCTGGTGCTGGAGGAGACTCTTGAGAGTCCCATGGACTGCAAGAAGATCAAACGCATCCATTCTTAAGGAAATCAGCCCTGAGTGCTCACTGGAAGGACAGATCGTGAAGCTGAGGCTCCAATACTTTGGCCACCTCATGAGAAGAGAAGACTCCCTGGAAAAGACCCTGATGTTGGGAAAGATGGAGGGCACAAGGAGAAGGGGATGACAGAGGACGAGATGGTTGGACAGTGTTCTCGAAGCCACAAACATGAGTCTGACCAAACTGCGGGAGGCAGTGGAAGACAGGAGTGCCTGGCGTGCTCTGGTCCATGGGGTCACAAAGAGTTGGACACGACTAAACGACTAAACAACAACAACAACCTTCTTCCAGAAGGCAGAAGCTGAAAGAGATCATTTTCGGGGTGCGCACTATCCTGCGCTCTCTCTGCAGCTTTCTTATGGCACCTGGAAGCATAGATTTGATCCAAGGTGGGAAGAGTGCACCCAATTCTTCTCTCCACAGTCTTTGCAACCCTGAACAGCATTATTTTTTTTCCCTGACCGTGCAGCCCCCAAACCACACGCACAGACCATAAGTTAATACACTCTCAACAGTACAATGGTAAAATGCCATCAACAGGTGCTTTGAGAGATTGTTTTTCCGGAGGATTCTCAGAAAATATAACCTCTGCTGTGCTCTCTTCATCAGTAACAGGAAAACTCTAATCCTAAACCTCCTCTACCTTCCTTGAGGCTCTACTCATTCGTGAGAAAGACTTCAGGAGTAAATTGCAAGGAAAAGTATGTACCCACTGCCTTGCAGGAAGGACATCTTCGGGAGAAGAAAAGGATAAGGAGTATATGCTCCACAAATCCGGAATGGAGTCTCTAAGATGGTTGGATGGTATCTCGTAGGCCTCCTTCCTGCAACTCCTGCACCCCAGTTGCAGCCAAACATATTGCTCTGCTTTCCTTTGGCCCACAGCAGCGAGGCCAGGGAAGAGAGGGGAGGTCTTGTCGTCTGGGCAGCCCAAGATTTGCAGACACACTGCCCAGGCTTGCTTCCAAGGAGGTCACTTAGGTGCCACTAACGCAGCAGAAACAACACGGGAGGCAGCAGTTACGAGTTCCAGGCTCTGCAGCCACAGCAGACGCTGCGATTCTCCAGCAGTTTGACTTCGCTCCCGGAGACACACTCCATGGTCTCTCGTTGTATGCCAACAACCTTTACACATGTGTCCCTTCCAACTAAATAGTTCTATGATTCTAGGAACATACCATAAAAGCTTTGGTAAGCTTTTTGTCAGGTTGTTCAGACATTTTTTGTGGGGGAGGAGGTGCCCAAATAATGACAAGTTGAAAGTAAATGGGGAGAAAGTTTAATCAGATGTGATTACATTCATGACTTATATGCATAAAGCCATATACAGCTTGGGACCAGGATTCCTGAAAGATCATCTCACCCCTTATCTTCTTCGGCGATCACTCGTAGCTTGAGTAAGATTGTCTTCCATAAACAAGGTTTAACAATGAGTCTGTAAGTAGCCGTGGAGGCCAAATCTGGATCCACACGTCCTTCCACAGTGGAGACATAGGTTTCTGGGCAGGAGTTGATCATGGTGTGGATTTGCCAAGCGTGCCTTCCTCTTAGCACGTTTCTCCCTTGCGTCCTGAGTTTCCCAATTGTTGGTGTTTATACGTACTACATTTTTAAATTTGCCTTGAGACAGTCTTTAAACCTCTTACTGTTTAGCACTTACTGTCCCCAACCCTAACCCTGTGGAAAGCCATCTAATTAGACTTTAATTTGATTTTGACATGTTTTTAGGAGGTAATTTAATTATTGTTTGATTTTATACCAATGTTATGTATCTGATATTAGCTGCCCTGAGCCCAACTCTGACCGGGGAGGGAGGGATATAAATAAAAGTTTATTATTATTATTATTATGTTGACCACCAGCATTACGCTTTCCATTTTTAAGTTTGGAATAGAGCAGTTGCTTTGGAAGACAATCATCAGGCATCCACACAACATGACCAGTCCAACAAAGTTGATGTTGAAGTATCATTGCTTCGACACTGGTGATCTTTGCTTCTTCCAGTACAGTTGGTACCTCTAGTTGCAGACATGATCCGTTCTGGGGTGCTATTTGCACCCCGAAAAGTCCGCAACTAGAACGGCACTTCTGCGCATATGCAAAACTTGCAGAACACTCCTGCGTGTGCGTGCGCAGTGAAACCCGGAAGTATACAGTGAAACCCGAAAAGCTGCAACGTGAAGCAAATGCGATACTGGCATTAGTTCTCCTGTCTTCCCAAGTGATGTGTAAAAATTTTCGGAGACACCACTGATGGAATCTTTCGAGGAGTTGGAGATGGCCTTTATAAGTAGTTCATGTTTTCACAAGCATACAGTAAGGTTGGTAGTACAATAGCTTTGTAAACAAGCATTTTTGTTTCACTGCGAACATCCCGGTCCTCAAACACCCTGCACTTTATATACCCAATTTATCACTGTGCTCTGCAAGTGAGGGAGTCCTGCAGATACCATCTTATACCAGGAGGTCTGTCTCATGCAGTATAGGAATCATAGAATTGTAGAGTTGGAAGGGATCCTAAGGGTTGTCTAGTCCAACCCCTTGCAATGCAGGAGTCACATCTACTAATCAAGGGGAGCGAACTTTCTCTGCTGTCTTTGCACAGCCTACTGAAGATCTTTCTCTTCCAAAACGCCTTTCCACTTCTCTCTCAGTCTACATCTGTACTGGACTTATTTTTAAGATATTCTGAATATGTTTTCATCACTTTCTGTTTACTGCCCGGGGCTCCTTTGGGAGGAAGGATGGAAAATAATAATAATAATTATAATAATGCTCTTGGAGCACCTAGGAAAAACACTTTTGAGTTTTTGGGTGACTAATTAGCAGGAACACTCCGACTAATGGGTAGCTAGGGAACAGACAAAAGAGGATTAACATTCCTTAGGTCATTAAGGAATCAGAGAGTTTTCCTTAATGGCCTGAGCAAATTCTCCTGCCTTTGGAATGTGAGATGGACCACAACTCATTGCAAGTTTCCAGCTAAATAGGTAAAATAATAATAATAATGATGATGATAATAATAATAATAATAATAATGATAAGGATAATGATAATAATGATGATAATAACAACAACAACGATGATGATGATGATAATAATAATAATAATAATAATAATAATACTCTCCCACCTCTGAACAGTTGCTAGTCAGACTCCCCCAGCTCGGTCCCCAATTCTACCTTTCAGAGAACTACACCTCCCAGAAGGCAACGCCTGGAAAGCGTCCTGCGCATGCGTCCCCGGCAGTCAGCGCACAGAGAAGCCTCCCGAGTTCTAGAGAGGCCCGAGCGCGCGGCGCGGCAGCGACTTCCGCTTCCGGCCAGCCTCGCTCTGGGCCCTGCGGCTGGCGGCCGAGCCTTGTGCCTCCGCCATATTGTCTGTGTGAGGCCGGCGAGGGAGGCGCGGTGGTGGCTGCTGCCGCCTCCTCCTCAGGTGGGTGGCCGTAGGGGCGCGGGGCGCCTTCCCCGTCCCGAATGGACCCGGTGGGGGGAGGGGAAAGGGCCCAGAGGCGGGAGAAGGGGGAGGGCGGGGCTTCCTCGACTCCCCCTCCCCCCCATTTGGAGCCTCAAGGGAGGGGAGGGGGCGGCGCAGTGGGGGGGGCATATATATAAAATGAGAAAATGAGGGGTCTCTGGTTCGAGAAGTGCGGGCTTTGCTTCTTCGCCCCCCCCCCCATGAGGCAGCTGCATATTATGGCAGCCTCTTGGGGGGGGGAAGGGGAGGGTCCCCATCCTGGGTGAGGCTGCCAGTGGAGACGCCCCTGGCCGTGAAGGGAGCAGACCCCGCCCACCGACCCCCCCTGTGCACCAGTTGACCACTGGGACATTTCCTTTTGTTGGGGGGGAGGGGAAAGAAAGATCCCCCCCATCCCCAATTATGTGAGTCTGGGAACGAAGCAGGACAGTCCTTTGAAAGGTGCCCCCCCTCCAATGTGGCCCTTCTTGCACTCTAGCAAAAAAAAAAAGGTTATCTTCCCTCGCCCCCCCCCCCCAATGTGTGTTCTGGCATATTCTTTTGCATATGATGTTGGGTGGGGAGGAAGGAGGGGTCATGCTGAGGGTCTGCAGTGATTCTTTTGGGGGCAGAACGGAGAGGATGTCTCCCTCAAGGGGGGCAGGAAGGGTAGATCATGGTGGATTTGTGTGTGTGAAAGGTTGCTCTTACCAAGGATCTTTTGCCCCTTTCCAAGGCTGCATAGGGGATCTCTGTCTGTGCCAGAGGCTGAAGGGTACCTGTAAATCTCTTTATAGGTGAGGTCCGCAAGTGCTTGAGCATGAGCATCTTTCAGCAAGGGCTGTTGGACTTGTGGTTCTGGGAGCTTGTTGGACGGTTGAGGATAGCCTAGGGTGGGGTCATTAATACATGCTAATCTGCATTTCAAAAACAGAAACAAAGGTATTATCATTTCCTTGGATTGTTTTCTCTTTGAGTAATTGTGGTAGGGCAGTTTAGAAATCTAGGGTAAATTTGTGAAAATTGCTGGTTCCTTTGCCCTATCATTATGGGGGATATAAGAATTACCTGGTTGGATCAGACCAAGGTCTGTCTAATTTAGCATCCTGTTTCCAGCAGTGGACAACTGGAAGCCTCTAGGCACTACTGAGTAGAGTCATCCCTAGGGAACTTGTAGAGTCCTGACTGAGGTGCTCTTCTCCCAGCTAATTCCCAAGACAAGCCTCTCTGTCTTCTTAGGACTATGGTGGGATGGGAGGTTCTGATTGCCTTGTTCCAGCTAAATGTAGGAACATTTTCTGCACAGTTGAAGAGTGCTCTCCCCAATTACTGTGGTGCTGATACTGTGGGGATTTCTCCCCATCCTGCAACCATCTGTATACAAAGATCAGACTAGATAGGATAGGGCAGATATGTGTACCTGAAAACAGTAAAGTGTGGTATTTTAAAATTGACTCTTGATCCTACAAACTTGATTTCTTGCTGTCTGGGCTTCTGAAGTGCTTTCTGCCCTTGCTTTTTGTTTTATTTTAATGATTTGTTGTCTCTCCTTTTCATGGATCATGCCCAAGAAAGCTGTTCCTTCCTTGATACGTGCAGTTGGTGTAAAGAGATGTCTTTTTCCACAGTGATAGACAAAAGGTATTAACTCCACACTAGGAAGTCGAGAAGCTGTACGTAAGTTAATGGGGTTAGAAATAAGAGAATGTGAGGAGCCAAAGAAACATTTCCAGTGAAAGTTTCAGAGCTTCTTACAGTGTTCTAGATTCCAGTCCTCATAGCAGTTGGGGGGGATGAATAAAAAATATTAGATGCAGAATATTTTCCCCATTGTTGGGTATGAATATATTTAGCAAGTGCCCATTTTAGTTCTGTTCATCTTCAGCTGAATTGGTTTCCTCCTTATCCCCATGAGAATGTAATATTACTAGGTAAGAAACACTCTTTCCCCATTACCTGACAAGTTGCATCATCTGAGTTTGGCTATATATTGGAACACTTTCATTTATTCTTGTAGGAATAGCGGGTTGGGAAGTGAGGGATAGCCTGAGAATGTTGCATGCTGCATACTGGAGCTTTTAAATCTTGGGTCTTTAGGGAGGACTTCTCCTTTCTTTACCACTAGAATAGGGAGAGATTCCTTCCCAGATTTTATTGTCAGCCCTTGCAGGAGTATGATCCCACTACCAAGTGTACATCTGCCCTGGCTAAGTGGGCATGAGGGATGCTTCCTCAACCAGCAGCATATGCAAATGTCTGCCTGTAATTTGGTGATGGTGGTCAGGAAACTCCTGGTTCCAATAAGCTGTGGTAGCTGATCTCTTATCTTCTGCTGTTTTTCTTCCCCTTGTGAGAAGTTGATCTCTGTTGTTGGCTTGTTAGAGCAACAGGATTCTCTGCACATGCTTACCTGCTAGTTGAGTAGCATTGAACTCAATGAAACTTACTGATCAGTAGACGTGTATAGGATTGCACTGCTAATTGTTAATCAACTCACAATTTTGCTGGTTGATTGCGGAGACACACTTTTAACTGATAAAGGCAAATTTTAATTTGAGGTTGAGGGGCATCCCTGTTAGTGTAAGTCTTTAGGCTAGTTCGAGTTTGTGTTACTGTATGTCAAGAAAAATAAAGATGGCCTTGTTATCAATGAATGGTATTTCACGAGGCTTCCTATATTAAGGATTTAGTGACATACAGACTTATTTAAAATTATAAGCAATACAATGACAGGCTCATCCCCAATACTTCGGCTGGATCTCCATCCTGAAGCTGGTGGCTACTATTTTATTTATTAAAATTGTGTACTGCCGTGGTGGGAAAGGCAGGGTATCAATAAATTCATAATTTAAAAAAATGTATACTGCCTTTTATCCGAAGATCGCAGGGCAGTTCACAACATAAAAGTACAAAGAGAACACAAAATACATCATAAAAAACAAACCAATAATCCCCTTCCCACAAACACATTTAAAAGGCCATATAATGTTAATCAGGCAAAGGCCTGCTTGTAGAGAAACATTTTTGCCTGATGCCTAAAGATCTATGATAATGGTGCCAGGTGAGCCTCCCTGGAGAGGCTGTCCCACAAACAGGGAACCATCACAGAGAAGACCTTGCGTAGAATCATAGAATTGTAGAGTTGGAAGGTACCATGAGGGTCATCTAGTCCAACCCCCTGCAATGCAGGGGTTTTTCCCCAGTGTGGGGCTTGAACACACAACCCTGAGATGTAGATCCTTTGAAAACATCTCCTCGTAAGTCTTCAGCACCCTAGGTATGGTTAGGAGAAGCAGAATAAATTATGCAAAATAAGATGATTCAAATGCACTTGGTTCACAGAATTTGGACAACAGAACACTGCAAATCACAAAGTAGTGAGATCTGCAAGTGGTACAGTCAGGGGTTCCTCATCTCTCTTTTTTTTACCATTTTGATAAGAATGTACCTTTTGGCCTGTGCAACCACGCAAGAAAAAGCTGATTGCCCTTGGGAAAGTATCCTAAGCTGTTTGTACAGTAGAGGTTTATGCCCCGAGGAACACTTTCTTTCTTGCTGCTGATGGAAGCTAGCTTTCAAATTCTTGATTAGAATCATTAGTCGCCGCCAGAATGGAGTTTCACAAAACAATCTCAGCTTTTAAAATTCTCCTGTGCAGACCAAATCAAGCTTGAGCTCCACATAAAGCTTGCAGTGCGTTACACCCTGTGTGTGTAATGTAATGGATGACCTGCTAATAAACATGGGAAGCTTTCGTGTTGACCCCGCTCTAAAGCAGTGTTTGGGTGAACATTTCTGTGGCCATTGGGCTGTCGTAGAAGTACACAGAATAGAGCCAGCAGGGCTTGGAAATGTTGCCCCCTCCATATTTTTGCTCCACCCACTTTTCTCAAAAGCCCCACCCTCTGATCCTGGCCAGACTTGGGAGATTTTTTTGTCATTCAGTGCTTGGATCGATGTGTGATACCATGGCATGCACGCTGGCTAGAGCTTGTTATCAAAATGTGGGTGTGCCTTTCTTAAATTATTCCAAATGAGAATTGCTCCTTTTGATGAGATGTGGTGCAGATATAGCCCGGCTGACGCTTTGAAATTCAATATGCTTGCCTACCTACCCGATGGAAGAGTGACCTTGCATAAGGGTCTGCCTTTGCTCCCCATCTTTAACATAGTTACACCCTTTTCTTCAACTTAAATGCTCAGGTGTCCTTGCAGAAACACAAATTCATTCTTCCTCACAGAGAGGACCCAGGTGTTTTTCTTTTCTTTTTTTATTATGCTGCCCTTCAGAATACATTTTTCCAGCTTACAAAAACAGAATAAATAAATAAATATGGTAACTTAATGCAAAAATAAAAACTCCAGGCAAGCGTTAAAAGGCCTATTGTGAAAGTTAACCTTTTTGAGTTAGTCACCTGGAAAGAATGGCTAGTCATCCATTACTGGTGAGTAGCTAACTGCAAGGTTACTTGGGTCCATGTGATCTCTGCTCTCAAACTCCAATCTTGCACTTTATGAGTCTGAATTATGTTGCTCAATAAATCATGCAGATTATCTTTGTGCTCACTTAGCTGTGCTTTCTGTCAATATTTAGCATTTCAGCATTGAGGCAGTGGTGGTATGGCAATAGAGGATTGAGGTGGCTGAATGTTGGAAGGCTCTAGAGAGAGAAGGCTAGGACTGGGGATGGGCGTTGCGGATGGGATGGAGACGGAAGGATGCTGGAAAGGTTCATGGAGGTTCTGCAGCTTGCTAAAGCTCAGGTTAGTCAAACCCTGACTGGAACCATTGCCCGTCCTTTCTGAGCTCTGTATTTTCTTCATATGCTGAGATTTGCAAACTCAAATCTGCTGCAAAACCAAAGACTCCTTGCGAAAAGCACACATTAGACTTTGAGACTGGCGGCTGTTTGTCTCATTTCTGTTTTGCTCTGTTCGTGTGATGTTAGTTCTTGCATTTAATTGCAGAAGTGGCATGCTGGGCTCTCAGCAAGTGTGTTTAAATTATTTGCCACTGTGGATCATAAAGTGTGAAAAATAGGGCGAGTGAGAAAATGCCCCATTGAGATGAGTCAGGACAGTTTGCATTCCTCTTAGAGGCACAGTTCACACTCTCTGGGGAGGTGGGTACATGACACCACATCGTCTTTGCATCTGCTTATGGTACAAATTCAGAAGTCCATTCTTGAAGCTATTATGGTAAGCGATGCACTTTCTAAATAAAAATTGTGGGTTGAGGTTTTTATTTTTAGTTGGGGTTCTTGCCTCTTCCATCCCAAAGGCAGATAGCTGTACAGACAAATGCCAAATCAGATATTTTAATATTTGAATACTGTTGTTGGAACTTGGTGTGGAAGGAAGGAAGGTGATCTTAAAAGAGTTTCTTTTAAGGTAATCCTAATTTTCTGAGCTTCCACTAGTGGGTCAGGACTAATGAGTGGACCACATGAGCAATGCTTACCGCCATTAATAAAACAACTTTTGTAAGAAAGGGGGGAGACATCAAAAGATGCAGCAGAATGCACCTTTGCACATTTTACTCTGACTTGCTTCAACTATGAACACTGTTAATAGTTACAAAAAAGAGAGAAACTCATCAGTTATGACTTCTCAGCTTTGCCTGTTAAGATGCAGGGACCACTTCCTTGCTTTTCATCTGGTCATATTAGGTCTTAAGAACGAGGTTATATGTGGTAAGTTAGAAAGTAAGTCCTATTTTGTAGTATGTGGGGGTTAAGACTGTTCTGATTCTGAAAGACATGAGCACTGGATTGAGTTGGTATTTTGCCCTTTGATGCTTAGGAAATACATTGGTTCTCAACCATAGTGGCAGCTGGGAAAGATAGCCTTATCAGCTGGGTGGGGGCAGGCTGTATGCCTGAGCTCCCTTCTACTTCCTGCATGGATCCAACACGGATCCTGGAATAGCGGAAGTAGCTTCCTGGTGAGGTAATGGCCCTCTGTGTATGGGCCATTAAAGTAACAAAGGAAGTGTCTCTGTGCCAGATACCAAATGGGTGGGCGGGCTCCCTCCCTCAATGGCTGGTAGTAAGAAAGACAGACGCCAGAGTTGGGAGTTGAGTTATGTGAGCTAGAAGCAAGGCTGCTGGCTGGGCAACTGGGAGACAGAACCATGCTTGATTTCTGCTGGGATCCAAGGCTATGGCTATGGGAGAAGCAATACGTTCTTGGATGTTCATGCTGCAAGCTCAAGTTGTGTGTGTGTGTGTGTGTGTGTGTGTGTGTGTGTATGTGTATGTAAATAAACCATCTATCACAGGGGTCAGCAAACTTTTTCAGCAGGGGGCCGGTCCACTGTCCCTCAGACCTTGTGGGGGAGCCAGACTATATTTCTTGGGGGGGGGGGGGAAATGAACGAATTCCTATGCCCCACAAATAACCCAGAGATGCATTTTAAATAAAAGGACACATTCTACTCATGTAAAAACACGCCGATTCCCGGACCGTCCGCTGGCCGGATTTAGAACACTGAGGTCCAGCGCCGAGGGCCTTCTGGCGGTTCCCTCACTGTGAGAAGCAAAGTTAAAGGGAACCAGGCAGAGGGCCTTCTTGGTAGTGGCACCCGCCCTGTGGAACGCCCTCCCACCAGATGTCAAAGAAAAGAACAACTACCAGACTTCTAAAAGACATCTGAAGGCAGCCCTGTTTAGGGAAGCTTTTAATGTTTAACAGACCACTGTATTTTAATACTTTGTTGGAAGCCGCCCAGAGTGGCTGGGGAAACGCAGCCAGATGGGCGGGGTATGAATAAATTATTATTATTAAAGGCGATTAGGCTGGATCCGGCCCCCGGGCCTTTGTTTGCCTACCCATGATCTATCATAAAGACACCACAGTCTCTGCTGTCCCTCATTCTGATGAAATCAATTCCTGGGTAAGCACATGGAACCTTCTGGAATCTCACTTGAAGATTGGGGTGGCTCACAACCGTGTGGTCTGAGGGGCACATACCTGGAAATGTGGTTGACGTTCCTAAAAATATGATCCGGCTTGCATGAAATAGTAAGTAACACCCAAGAATGACTATTTAGTTATAGTCGAAAGCAGAAGCATTTTTGGCATTTGGAGTCTTGTCAAGAAAGTACAGAGCACATTTCTCTTAGTAGTAGCTAAGATTTGTACATTGAAAGTAGGGAAATTGGCAGCTGTCCCAGATATTATTCTGTGGTTGAAGAAAAAAGAAAGTATGAGACCTTGGAGCAATCGAGAAATTAAGCATTAGTCAGATAATGAGACAGAAGATTGCATTTGGACAAATGCATTGCAGTGGTTGCACAGTTTTGTCTTCAGGAAACATTGTAAGCATGAACATGGGTTTGTAAAAATAGCCTCAGAGTGTGAGATGCTTGTGTTGGTATTTGAATTTTCAATAATTGGGATATTTTGAGTATTTCAGATTCGTTAGGAGGTTGTGATCTACGTATATATTTGTGTTGCATATCATATTTGACTTTTCCACATTGTTCAGCATTTTATAAGTTCATAGAATCATAGAATCATAGAGTTGGAAGAGACCACAAGGGCCATCGAGTCCAACCCCCTGCCAAGCAGGAAACACCATCAGAGCACTCCTGACATATGGTTGTCAAGCCTCTGCTTAAAGACCTCCAAAGAAGGAGACTCCACCACACTCCTTGGCAGCAAATTCCACTGTCGAACAGCTCTTACTGTCAGGAAGTTCTTCCTAATGTTTAGGTGGAATCTTCTTTCTTGTAGTTTGGATCCATTGCTCCGTGTCCGCTTCTCTGGAGCAGCAGAAAACAACCTTTCTCCCTCCTCTATGTGACATCCTTTTATATATTTGAACATGGCTATCATATCACCCCTTAACCTCCTCTTCTCCAGGCTAAACATGCCCAGCTCTCTTAGCCGTTCCTCATAAGGCATCGTTTCCAGGCCTTTGACCATTTTGGTTGCCCTCCTCTGGACACGTTCCAGTTTGTCAATGTCCTTCTTGAACTGTGGTGCCCAGAACTGGACACAGTACTCCAGGTGAGGTCTGACCAGAGCAGAATACAGTGGCACTATTACTTCCCTTGATCTAGATGCTATACTCCTATTGATGCAGCCCAGAATTGCATTGGCATTTTAGCTGCCGCGTCACACTGTTGGCTCATGTCAAGTTTGTGGTCAACCAAGACTCCTAGATCCTTTTCACATGTACTGCTCTCAAGCCAGGTGTCCCCCATCTTGTATTTGTGCCTCTCATTTTTTTGCCCAAGTGCAATACTTTACATTTCTCCCTGTTAAAATTCATCTTGTTTGTTTTGGCGCAGTTCTCTAATCTGTCAAGGTCGTTTTGAAGTGTGATCCTGTCCTCTGGGGTGTTAGCCACCCCTCCCAATTTGGTGTCATCTGCAAATTTGATCAGGATGCCCTTGAGTCCATCATCCAAGTCGTTGATAAAGATGTTGAATAAGACCGGGCCCAAGACAGAACCCTGTGGCACCCCACTAGTCACTCTTCTCCAGGATGAAGAGGAACCATTGATGAGCACCCTTTGGGTTCGGTCAGTCAGCCAGTTACAAATCCACTGAGTGCTAGCATAGTCAAGACCACATTTTACCAGCTTCTTTACAAGAATATCATGAGGCACCTTGTCAAATGCCTTGCTGAAATCAAGGTAGGCTACATCCACTGCGTTCCCTTCATCCACCAGGCTTGTAATTCTGTCAAAAACGAGATCAGGTTAGTCTGACATGACTTATTTTTCAGAAATCCATGCTGACTATTGGTGATCACAGCATTCCTTTCTAGGTGCTCACAGACTGTTTGCTTAATGATCTGCTCCAGAATCTTCCCTGGTATTGATGTCAGACTGACTGGGCGGTAATTATTTGGGTCCTCTCTTTTCCCCTTTTTGAAAATAGGGACAACATTTGCCCTCCTCCAGTCTGCCGGGACTTCGCCTGTTCTCCAGGAATTCTCAAAGATGACTGCCAGTGGTTCTGAGATCACATCTGCCAGTTCTTTTAATACTCTTGGATGCAGTTCATCTGGCCCTGGAGACTTGAATACATCTAAACTAGCCAAGTATTCTTGTACTATCTCCTTAGTTATTCTGGGCTGTGTTTCCTCTGCTGAATCATTTGCTCCAAATTCTTCAGGTCGGGCATTGTTTTCTTTATCGGAGAAGACTGAGGCAAAGAAGGCATTGAGGAGTTCAGCTCTTTCTGTGTCCCCTGTTTGCATTTCACCATCTTCTCCTCTGAGTGACCCCACTGTTTCTTTGTTCTTCCTTTTGCTACGGACATACCCATAAAAGCCTTTTTGTTGCTTTTAACCTCTCTAGCAAGCCTGAGTTCATTCTGTGCTTTAGCTTTTCTGACTTTGTGTCTACACGTGCTGGCTATTTGTTTGAATTCCTCTTCGGTGGTTTCCCCCCTTTTCCATTTTTTGTACACATCCTTTTTAATCTTAACTCAGTTAAAAGTTCTTTAGATAGCCACCCTGGCTTCTTTAGGCACCTTCCATGTTTCCGTCTCATTGGTATTGCCTGACGTTGTGCTTTTAGTATCTCCCTCTTAACAAACTCCCAGCCATCATGAACTCCCTTTCCTTTTAGTATTACTGTCCATGGGATCTCACCCAGCACTTCCCTAAGTTTTATGAAGTCAGCTTTCTTAAAGTCAAGAAATTGAGTCCTAGTATGCTTGGCTGCTCCTTTCCGCTGTATAGTAAACTTCAGAAGAGCATGATCACTTGCGCCTAATGATCCTTCCACTTCTACCCCACTAACCAGGTCATCAACATTGGTTAGGACCAGATCTAAAATGGCTGTTCCTCTTGTTGCTTCTCCCACTTTCTGGACAATGAAGTTGTCTGCAAGGCCAGTGAGGAATCTGTTTGACCTTATGCTCTTGGCTGAGTTTGACATCCAACAAATATCCGGGTAATTGAAGTCCCCCATTACTACTATCTCCCTTCCTTTTGCATGCTTGGCCATCTGTTCCAGGAAGGCATCATCTATGTCCTCCGTTTGGCTTGGGGATCTATAGTAAACTCCCACAATGAGGTCACTGTTATTCTTCTCTCCCTTAATTTTGACCCAAATGCTCTCACTTTGGCTTTGAGGTTCTAAATCTTGGATCTCTTCACAGGTATACACATCCCTGACATATAACGCCACTCCTCCTCCTTTCTTGTCTGGTCTGTTTCTCTGAAATAGATTGTATCCCCCATTATTACATTCCAATCGTGGGACTTATCCCACCAGGTTTCAGTGATGCCTATTATGTCATATTTAGTTTGCTGTACCAAGAGCTCAAGCTCATCTTGTTTATTTCCCATGCTTTGCGCATTAGTGTACAGACATTGAAGTCCATTAATCATTCCCCGTGACTCTTATTTAAGGATTTTTCCTCCCACCACTAGGTCTGTGTGCTGTTTGCTCCATTTGGTCTATGACATTTGGATGATCATCTTCATCAATTGATATACTCATACCTTCAGGAGCACTATCTACCTAACCCACATTAGTCAGTTTAAAGCCCTCCTGATGAGGTTTCTGAGATTTTTGGCAAAAACATTTCTCCCAACCGTTGTGAGGTGCAGCCCATCGCTTGCCAGAAGTCCATCTTCAAGAAACTGCAGTCCGTGATCTAAGAATCCAAACCGTTCCTGTTTACACCATTTGCGAAGCCAGCTGTTCACTTCCACTATTTTCCCCTCTCTCCCTGGGCCACGTCGTTCAACTGGGAGGACAGATGAGATCACAATTTGTGCATTTAATTGCTTCAATTTCCTGCCCAGAGCCTCGTAGTCTCTTTTGATCTTCTGGAGGCTATTGCTTGCAGTGTCATTGGTTCCCACATGAACCAAGAGGAAGGGGTATTTGTCAGTGGGTTTTATGATTCCTTGCAGTCGTTCAGTTACATCTTGGATCTTAGCCCCGGGGAGACAGCACACTTCCCGAGACATCTTGTCAGGCCCACAGATCACTGCTTCTGTTCCCCTCAGTAGGGAATCCCCTATCACCACTACACGCCTCCTCTTAGGTTTGGCTGGGGTTCTTCCGTGAGCTGTCCGCTCCAAGGTCGCCTGCACATTCCCTGAGGACTGACTTTGCTGCTCGTCTTCATATACCTGATCGACTGTAATGAGGGAGAGATCCTCAAATGGAGTCTGCTCTTCGTCTTCCATGCTAGGGGAGAGGACCTCAAAGCGATTGTGTATTTCTAAACAATCAGAGCGAACCCTGGGCCTCCTACTTCTTTGAGTCACGTTTCTCCATATATCTGGCTCCTGTGTTGGTGAACTAGCGTCCTTCTCAGGGGAGTCCCCTGTCTCCTCCTTGGTGGAGACGGTGTGCTCTGTTGCTTCCAAGAAGAGCTCTAGCTCTCTAATTCTTTGGAGCGTAGCTACACGTTCCTCCAGTTGCTGGACTTTGTCTTTTAAGAGGGCAATCAACATGCAATTGCTGCAGGTAAAGCTGCCTGCAACCTTTGGCAAGATGTGCCAAACTGTGTGTGTGTGTGTGTGTGTGTGTGTGTGTGTGTGTCTCCATTTCCCCCCCTTTCAGTGTGCAGTTGTGCATGGGAGCTGTGGCTTTCTCCCTGCACCCAAAGTGCTTTCACACCTGTGGGACCCAGACATGCCTTTGCTTTCCCTTCAGGTCTGAACTGTTGTGGTTTAGTTGTGTGTCAAATGAGTGTGCACTGCACCTGGCAGAGGCAGAGCAACTCTCTGCCTTCCCTCTCCAGCTCTAAGCTCCTGGGGGAGGAGTGAGGGCTTATTGTCTTCCCCCCTTCATAACTCGAAGCTTGGAAACAGAAAGACGAGCATATATCTCTCACCCGCCATATCCCATCCCATGCTGTGCTTGAGACAGAGCACCCTGCCCCTTGGGAAAAGGAGGTTCTGATGCCAAAACCTGTTGAGCTGTGATCCTCAGGGTTTGCGCGACTGCCTTCTACATCACTGCTTTATACATGGTTTGAGACCTGGTTGTCTTGAAGGATCACCCAGTCCAACATAAATTTGCTTGTTGGTTTGAGATGGTCTTTTCAGGCCCTTCTCCTGGCGCCTTGCTGTTTAAAGGCCAGGGCTATTCATCCCTCCATTCTCCAAGGCTTTTAATGTTCCATAGTCAGTTCTGCTGCTTTAAGATCTTATTAACGATTTTGCTGCCGTTTTTCACAATGCTCTCTCTTGTTCACCTAGGTTTTGTTTGTGAGCCATCCTGAAAATGCCTTAAATTATAAGGTAGGGGAAATTGTTCTTTAAAAAATGAACTTTAGAGTATAGTAGTATTTAGGAACTAGAACATCTGTGAATCACCTTTGCAATGAGCCATTGAAGAGTTTGACAGACCAGTTGATCCAGCTCAAGTTGTGGGTGGGCTAGTTAGAAGCAGATACAGTGGTGCCCCACAAGACGAATGCCTCGCAAGACGAAAAGCTCGCTAGACGAAAGAGTTTTCCGTTTTTTGAGTCGTTCCGCAAGACGAATTTCCCTATGGGCTTGCTTCGCAAGACGAAACGTCTTGCGAGTTTGTTTCCTTTTTCTTAAAGCCGCTAAGCCGTTAATAGCCGCTAATAGCCGCTAAGCCGCTAATAGCCGTGCTTCGCAAGACGAAAAAACTGCAAGACGAAGAGACTCGCGGAACGGATTGATTTCGTCTTGTGAGGCACCACTGTATGTTTTTCAGAGGAGTGGGAAGCAGGATTCCAATGCCAGCCAAGGCAATGGATCAGGCTGTTTCTCAACTGATGGAAAGTGAGAAGATTTTTTCCCTTCTTGGATAATACTTTGATCTCTGGGCCTTCCAGTGAAGCTGAATGTTGGACAGAAAATAAAAGACAGATAAAGTAGCGCATAAACTGTGGAATTAGCATCCACAGAAAGAAGCAGTGGCCACCAACCAGTGATAGAAACTGATATGTAAACTGGGCACCAAATGGCTCCTTTAACCAGGGTTACAGTCGCCAAAAAGGAATGCCTAGTTGCCATTTGGGGGCCGGAAAGCTTTAGAGTCGTATTTTTCAATATGATTATTTGGTTCCTGAAATTCATTCTGATGTTGCAGATAAAATACTGCATTTACTCGAGTCTAATGCGCCATCAAATTGAATGCACACCTCAATCTTCAGAACCTTGAAACCAAAAAAAGTATTTGCTGGCGAATGTCAAAGTGCCATTGATTCTAATGCACACCTTAATTTTCGCAACGTAATTTGGCCAAAAAAGGAGCACATTAGATTTGAGTACATATGGTATAACAGAATTCTACGGGATGTGTTGATAGGGTGTGAAAACAGTCAAGATCCAAGGATCCCCAAGCATGCACCTCCAGATGGTAGAGATGTTAGGTGCCATCCTGTAACCCAGGCATCTTCACTTGATCACAAGTGGCCAATAGCCAGGTGCAAAATGCGCCCGCTGATATTCTCCCCTTAGCTGGGTCGTGCCTTTTCCTTTCCATAAAACTTACACGATGCAGTCCACTCATTTCTAGTTCCTGCCAGTGTACCTTGGGGCTTGCCTCTCCAGGCCAGACACAAGAATCAATTCATTGGGTGAGTTTGGGGAAAAAACCCTGCTTTACTGTGCTGCAGGAAGCTTTCCTCAAGTCAGGGCAAAGCCTTGTGTTTAAGCGTTAGTCTCACAGCCATGGGCAACAAGGAATTGCATGCATGTTGAGTGAAGGAAAAGGAGGGATCAAGTACTCTGTCCCTCCCCTTAGAAGCACGTGAACTATTAGAGGAGAGAAACTCCCTTGTTTGCAACTGTGTAGGAACTCTGAAGGTTGTTGCAGGAGAATCAGAGCTCTCTGTTTTTGCCTCTGCCAGCCCCCAGCAGGCTAGCACAGATGCTGGCAGGTTAGTAAGTTTTGTGGACTTTTTTTAAAAAACCAAGGATGCTTTCAGATGGAGCTGTGAGGGAGCGATATTAGGATATCTTCCCAAGGAACAACTTTTCTCTCTTCTCTGTTTGGGAGCACAGCCTTTCTGGGATGTTCCAGGGTCACTTCAGAGCTCAGCAGGTGCTTTCAAATGTGGCAATGTTCTACTCTCCAGAGGTTATCCAGTTTCTTTAGCACCATCCAGCTCCCAGGCTTCCTGGCAATTGCGGCCTCCCAGGGATCCTACTTGCCAATATGCTAATACTCTGACTTTGTTTCAGGCCTTGGGCTTGTTTGCACTAGCACGGCAGAGAGAGGAGGTTTCCAGATTGTACATTTCACTCTGTTTCTAGCACCAGGCTGCTAAAGCGGTTGTGCTTAATTTTGAAAATGAGCTGATTGAGCACCAGTTTCGCTTTTAAGGACTGGAAAAATCCTGTTTGTTTGGGTGACTAAAACTTTGATGCTGCTACCTAGGAATTCTGAATAGTTCTTCAGCCTTGGTTTCCTGCTCAGGATATTGGCTCACTCAGGGTAATGCTACAAGATTTAGAATAAAAGGTTCAATGAAGAAATTGCTATATTGCTGGGAAATCACGGGAGAGTTATTTCATCAGCTGAATTTTCCAGCTTAGTACCGTTAGAGCCAAGCCCCTGGCACTGGCTACCAAGGCTGGCACAGTATTTACCAGGAGACTTGTTTTTTTCCTTTCTCCGAGCCAACTTGGGGTTGGGACAAGAGGGTCAAACATAGCATTAAAAGGAACCCCCTGGAGTTCATTCTGAGCCAGAGGGACAAGGAAATTGTTCTTCTTCCGCCCTTCCAATCTGCTTTGGCAGTTGCATGTTAAGGCTGAGGGGAGGAAAAGACCAGGTGTCTGACTGGAAGGAGGAAGATATGGGGATGAGGAGCAGCACAGCAGTGGCTCAGGCCGGAGTTTGAGGAAAGAGAAGCTGTGAAGCCTTGGGTTGCAGTGTTGGCTGCCTTGCTCAGGGCTTGGAGCTGTCTCAGTAAGAGCTCGGCTTGAAAGGCAAATCCTACACAAAAGGACTTCAGAGAACGGGTGATGGTGTATAAAGGAAGGGAAGGATTGGTCAATAGAGAGCTGGAAAGCAAGATAGTCATTCACTGTGATCTCTTAGGGCAGGGGTCAGCAAGGCTTACCAGGCATGGGCTGGATCACTCCCACGGCGATCCTCCGTGGGCTGGGCCAGTGCACCACGACGCTGGAAATCACGCCTGCTCATGTCTGTGGCACTGGAAATCGCTTCTGCACATGCCAAGACACCGGAAATCATGCCTGCGCAGAAGTGATTTTAGGCACTGCGGACATGCGCAGACGCGATTTTCGGCATTTGGGCATGCACAGAAGCGATTTCTGGAACTGCAGAAGAGAGTCCCCGCACTGCGCCGGTTTAGCACAGCGCACGGGGACTCGCCGGGCGGGCAGCTCGGTTCAGGGGTGGCTCATGGGCCAGTTAAGCGACCCTCATGGGCTACTTCCAGCCCATGGGCCTTAGGTTGCCGACCTCTGTCTTAGGAGAATCCTTGTTTTGATTTGGGGGTGCTTGGATATCGTGCTGCACCTCTCCCATAAAACTCCGACTCCACAAATATTAGGCTGGAGGAAACAAGCCTAACAGTATGTTCTAAGAGGAGAAGCTGAAAGGCGAAGATTCTTTTCTGGCTTGAACAGGAGCGAACAGATTCATTGAGGAGAGGGCTATTGAAGGCGGCCAGGCATCATGGCTCTGCTGTGCGTCCACAGTTGGACGCAGCAATACTTCTGAATACCAGTTGCTGGAACCTGCAGGAGGGCTGAGAGCTCTTGCGTTCAAATTCTTCTTGTAAGCGTCCTGCAGGCATCTGGTTCGTCCACTGTGAGAACAGGATCCTGGACTGGGTGGGCCATTGGCCTGATCCAGCAGGCTTTTATGTTCCCTCCTCCCCTGGCTCAGCTAGAGAAGCCTCATTGACAGCAGTCAGTGAGTAAAAGACTGGCTACAAGGCACAACTCTTCAAGTGCTGTGATGGCGTCAGGAGAGTTGCTAACGGGGGGCCAGAAGAGTTTCTTCACTGGGAATGCTTTATTGTGCAGTTTATACAGTCTTATCTCCAGCTATCTCCCTCCTGCAGAGTTTGCCCTGTGTGAGAAGGACCACATTCTCCCTCCCCAACCCCTGCTGTTTCCATGGGTGTAAATATTCAGTATGGATCTGCCCCAAGGTCAGGTGGGGGGGGCATAGCACTTAACTGTTGTCACCATGTAGATACTCCTCAAAAGCTAAGGCAAGCTGTGGCGCATGATGTGCCCTAGCTAGAGTTAATCTGCAAACAAATGGGGAAGGTGTGGTTAGGGTGGGGAACACAGTGATATCTCCTGGTCCAGAGGATTTCAAGATTTGCCAGTAGCTGTTCTGTCATGAGTGCTTCAGATATGGAGTGGGAGCTGTGAATGCCTCCCTTCTTTTCAGTTTTATGATTTTGCTCCCTTGAAATTAAAAAAAGTAAGGTGGTGGAGCAATGGACAAGAAAGGGAATAAACACTTAATTTCTAAATTTGTGGCCAGAGTAAAAAGGAGGCAATGGGATAATAATAATAATAAAATAATAATTTATTACTTATACCCTGCCCATCTGGCTGGGTTTCCCCAGCCACTCTGGGCGGCTTCCAACAAAAGATTAAAAATGCATTAAAACATCAGTCATTAAAAACTTCCCTAAACAGGGCTGCCTTCAGTTGTCTTCTAAATGTCAGATAGTTGTTTATTTCCTTGACATCTGATGGGAGGGCGTTCCACAGGGCGGGTACCACCACTGAGAAGGCCCTCTGCCTGGTTCCCTGTAGCTTCACTTCTCACAGTGAGGGAACTGCCAGAAGGCCCTCGGCGCTGGACCTCAGTGTCCGTCTTGAACGATGGGCGTGGAGACGCTCCTTCAGGGATGCTTATCTGTGTGATGACTGTTCTGAGTTTGCAAGACCAGTACGAGTGCTCCATACTGAAAGCTGTGTGAGGTTTGGAAATGGCTAAGCCCCCAAGGTCAACTATCTTAGCAAAGAATGTGAAGAAACATGGGGAAGGGGTTTTCTTTTCACAAAGGGGGAAGCCCAGCAAGTGGCAGGTTGAGGGCGATGACAGCAAAGGAAGAGGCAATTGTTTGCGTTTCAGTGTAACTGATGCACACTTACCCTCAGCGGCAGGGGAACTTTGGCATTCTGATCTCTCGTTTTAGTCTCCTGTTCTGCACATCACAAAAGTTCTCGGTCTAATAGTTTCGGAACTGGCCTTGACAGCGTGTGGGCAAAGCCTCTGGGCAGGATTTCCATAGAATCAGGGAATTGTAGAGTTAGAAGGGACCCCAGGGGCTCAGCACTTGCATTGTTGTTCCCACCCAGCCTACCTCACAGGGTTATTGGGAAGATAAAAGGGAGGAAGAACCAGCTTTGACCCCCCCTTTTAGGCGAAATCTTGACTCATTTATATGTCTGGGCCTTTGGGGCTTAATTGGGCTTAGGCTCCAGAGTGGCATTATTAGCTACTGCTTTTTTAATATTGAGTCAGCATTTTAAATGCTTTTATGAAAACTGTATTGTTTTATGTTGTCAGCTGCCCTTTGATCCCTTATGGAAGGAAATGGGGGATTTGAAGAAGATGTAATAGATGTGCCCTGACATGAGCAGCTTGGAGGAAGGCGGGGAAGGAGGGATATAATGCAATAAGGATAAATTTTGCAAAATAATCAAACAATTGCAAAATTGCTGAACTTATACTGGTCATAGAATTTGGTTTATCTTGGTTCAGAAGTCATTATTATTTTAGAGAGATGTAGAAGCAGTGCTGAGTGGAATTGGAGTAAATTATATCCAAATGGTGTTGGTGTCAGAAAATTGGGGTTCCCGAGCACTGGAAGGTTTTGACAACCTTTTCAGTCTCTCAGCCATTTTAATATTTACGGAACATGAGTATTTCATTTCAGCTGCTTAAGTGGAAGCTGTTGGGTCCAAAGTTCAGATGGAGTTGGACTGGATTGGAGAGTGTCATGATCTAGAAATGTTTTGATTGCAACTGCAACTTGACGCAGCCCGGGAACTTTTAAGAGAAGGTGTGCAGAACAGTTTCTTTCCATGTTGTATTACAATTTAAATTTTAGCATCTGAAAATACATGGATTGGGTTGTGTCTTTCGTTTTTTGTGTAGTGACTTTTATTGGCCCCAAACTGAAATATATAAGCCTTTCAAGGTTTGCTTTGAATTGATATTATAATATGTTTTGATACATGCTGGAAGCTGCCCAGAGTGGCTGGCAAAACCCAGCCAAATGGGCAGGGTATAAATAATAAAATTATTATTATTATTATTCATATTATATTCTTTACAGAAAAGGTTTCTGTGCTTCATCTATTCAAAGCCATCCTTTGACAAACATAATGGATTGATTTAAATAAAGGACAGTTTTAAGTCAAGCTTGTACTTGCAGATGCTCAATAAGAAAAGGACATATTTATTGCATGATATCCTTAAAACATTCTTATCGTACCTAGAAGGGCATTAACTATATCATTCAATAAAACACAATATTTTTACTAATTTAAAAAATGGTGCGCAGCACGCTTACTATTGGATAACATAACATTCACTTGCCCATGATTTATGTGAAGCTGTATTAGTGTATCTGATTTGCAGGGGCCTAACTTTGGGCAATGACCTAAGCCAGTGTTTCCCAAACTTTGAGTCTCCAGCTGTTTTTGGACTACAACTCCCACCATCCCTAGCTAGCAAGAGTGGCCAGGGATGATGGGAGTTGTAGTCCAGCAACAGTTGGAGACCTAAGTTTGGGAAATCCCTCTAAGCCCTTTGGACTCTTCCCCAGCCGCACTCACTTCTGGGCCCTGTTTTGCATCCTCCTGGTGTGTTTTCATCTACCTGCATTGTGTGCTTGAGCTGCGGCATTGCCTCTTGCTTCCTTGGATGGAGGGCAGAGAGGATACATGTGTCGAAATTGGTCCAGTGTACAAAGGCAAAATTTGCCTTCTTTGCTCCTCCCAGTTTTGCCTCTGGCCCCAGCCTCTGAATGTTGTCCTTCAAGCTGAAAGAGGTTCCCCATCGCTAATCCAACTAGAGAGGTTAATTGCACAAAAAGAGAGAGGGACCTGGTTCACACATTACATTCAAACACAGTGGGCACTATCCAACTAACTTGTTCCACCAGCCCAAATATTTCTACTTGCACTATGGAATGCCCCCCACTTTGCTCCGGAGGGTTTGGAAAACCCGCTCCTTCCCCCAAAACAGATTTTGGGGGCTTACAGTGGGAGGAAGTTCTGTTGCACAAGTGGAAATCCTTACTCTGATGAAACGTGTTAGTTGGGGTACCACCCAGCGAAAACAAACTATGGTTTAGTGTGCATGAGCAGTGTGCTTGTGCAGAAACGGCGGGTTCTTCATTCCTCACTGCCTCACACTTGCGGGGAACAAGTCTGATCCGAACCTGAGCTTATGGTTTGTTTCCTCCAAACAGGCAATAAGCCAAGAACACACTTTGCTTCTGCTCATGCTTTAAACAGTGATGAACAAACCATAAGCCCAGCTTAAGCCAGACAGTGCCTGGTTTCCCTGAAGCAGGAATGGGGAAGAACGAAGAGCCTTTAGTTGCAGCAACCTGCTACTCATTCACATTAAAGCAGGGTTAATAAGCTACAGTTTAATGTGACATTCCAAGCAGGCTGCGCGCACACACGTATATTGTACCTTTATTTCAAAACATGGATTTCTATTCATCCCTCTCTGGCTATTTACAGAAGCAGAGAAAGGCAATTTGCCGGCCGGCTGAAATGCCCAGGTTCTTGTAGAAACAAGTAGTTAGTAAGCAGAGCAGCGTTTCCCCCATTAAACGGGAAATAAATGTTCATGTTTGGTCATAAATATTTATTATCTGAGTGCTGAACAAATTTCCAAGCTTTCGGTAGAGTCTGCTGCTAATACAAATAGAGTACATGACTGCAGATGGGCTCAGTGATTCTGGAGAAATAGGTGGTGGCCTCTCCCAAGGCCAGTGATAATTAGTGATTGCAAACTCCATTTGGCCTGACTTGGAATTGGGCTTGGCAAAATATTAGATGGGAAATTACATAGTGGTCTCTCTCTCCCCCCCCCCAACTCAGTTCTACGATCCGGGCCCTGTTGGAGTTCTGATGATACAACCACCCCCTTCCCTTTCCACTCTTGCTAGCAAGGATTGGGATGGAGAGCAGAAATTAACATATATGAGTACAGTTGTGCTGGTAGAGCAATTAATTCAGAGAGAGAGCAAAGGTTCCATGTTCTGTGGAGCTGCTGAGTCATCCAGATGTTTTCCTTGCTGGCAAGAGATGCTCTGCAGGTGTTTCTTAGCTCTTGTGCTGTCTTCAAAGGATGGTCTAAATGCAGCTCCATAACAATCTAGGTTACCCTTGTATTGAGCGTAGAGGACAATAATTACAACTCTAGACTATATCCAGTCAAAAAATAGAGGCAGGGCCCTTACCCAGCTGTGTTTGCTGAAACTTTGCAAGTCCTAGACAGATGCCTGGATCTTTTTCTTCTTCTTCGGCGATCACTCATAGCTGAGTAAGATTGTCTTCCATAAACACAGCTTTAACAATGAGTCCGTAAGTGACTGTGGAGGCCAATTCTGGATCCACGCATCCTTCCACAGTGGGGACATTGGTTTCTGGGCGGGAGTTGATCACGGTGTGGATTTGTCAAGTGTGCCTTCCTCTTAGCACGTTTCTCCCTTGCGTCCTGAGCTTGAGTGTCTTCAAAGCGCATGACACCTTTGGTAAAGGTTGTTCTCCAACTGGAGCGCTCACAGGCCATTGTTCCCCAGATATAGTGGTGCGCTGGATGAGGGCCAATAAGTTGAATTAATTCTGATAAGATACAGGTCCTCTGGATGACCACACTGATTGGCGGAATTGGCCGATCTACCATTCTGCATTTGCAAGAACTCGACAGTTCAGTGTGGCAGCGCCTGCACTTTGGAACTCCCTGCCTATGGATATCAGGCACTGTACTTTTTTTAGCGCTTGCTGGAAACATTCTTGTTTAGACAAGCCTACCCAGATGCTTTGAAAGTTGAGGCAATATTTATCTGTTTCAGTATTTTAACTTTTGTATGTTTTAAAGTATGGCTGTCATGTTTCTTGATTTCCTTGTGTGTGTTTTTTTGTAGACCACTTTGAGGTGGTTTGTTTGTTTGCTTGTTTTGCAGTAGAGTGGTGTATAATAATTATGGAACAAATAAATACATGAGTAGTTCCCAGCTGAGAACTGAGTAAATTGCTTATTCTGGGGCTTGGGGGATTGCACTCACTATTAAAGAACAGGTGTATAGTCTGGTGGTGCTCCTAAAACCAGCACTCACCTTGGAGGCTTAAGAGGCTTCTGCTACTAAAAATTTCTTTTATCGGCTGCGAATATTTCTGAGTAATAAGAGCTTTGCCGCTGTGGTGCAAGCACTGGTAATCTGGAATCAGCGTTCAAAATTTGCCAGGCACATTTTGCACCTGACTTATTGGCCACTTGCGACCAAGCGAAGATGCCCAGGTGCCAGGATGGTACCTAACGTCTCCACCATTTGGAGGTGTGTGCCTGGGGATCCTGGATCTTGACTGTTTTCACACATTAGCAACACATCCTGTAGAATTCTAGCCGTTGTATTTTATCTGCACCGTCAGAATGAATTTCAGGAAGAATACGATCTTCGAGCTGTCTGGCACCAAAATGGCAACTAGGTATTTTGTTTTTGCGACTGTAACCTTGGTTTAAGGAGCCATTTGGTGCCTAGCTTATAGTATATATCTGAGTTTCTAACACTGCCTTGAATTGGATTGCTGTAATGCGCTTTATGTGGGGCTGCCCGTGAAACTGGCTTGGAAACCTCAGCTAGCGCAAAACTCTGTAGCTAGGCTGTAGTCAAGAGTGGCCTCATACAAGTATGTAACACCAGTCCTGAAAGAAAAACATTGCCAACAAGCCATCAAAAGCATTCTTCAAAGTACTTGTGTCGGTTTGTAAATCCATATGCAGCTTATATCGAGGAATGAGTTTAGGGTGCTATTTTCTGTTATCATCATTGCAGATTTAAACGATGACTGCGACTCTCTCGCTTTTGGCAAGGAGAAACATTTTCCGATTTATTGGCCTTAATTGGGCGCCCAGGCCATGTTGCTTCTGGAGCTGGGAATTTGTTAAACTTTTAATCATGTTTGGCCTGTTTGTTTTGCTAGAGTAAATAGCAGATGTTTGTCCGCAGGGTTGGTTTGGGATCAATTTGCCCTCAGCCTTTGAGAGAGAGAGAAAGAAAGAAAGAAAGAAAGTAGGAGATAAAGGGCAGAAAATCAAAACAAACACATTACCTCCAGGGGAACACCAGTTAACCTGACACTGGCAGGGAGTCTCGCTGGAGTCGTCTTACTGAGGTTGCTCTCCCTCCTTGGCATCTTGAACATTGCGAGGGAACCCTGAGACGTGTACTGTCCAGGGAGTCTGTTATCCAAACTAACAAACAGGGCACCCTTGGGAGGCAGGGAATGCATTTCTCAGCATTACTGTATGTTCCTGCTTTTGCCAAGTTCAGAGTGCTGGAATGAATTACGATCTGAACCAGGGGAGATGAACTTGGGAGATGAACGGTTCTCAGATCCTTCCAGGCAGCAATATCTCCCATCCGCAACCACCCTAAAACTGACCCAACTTGCTGTGTTGCTATCAGAATGACAATATAATGCACATGAGGCACACTGAATGATGAAAAGTGTATAAATGCTGCTATTACGCATTTCTTGATTTAGATTGCATCAGCAATTAGAGAAGTTGTTGCTGTTTGTGTGTAGTGTGGCTCTTAATATTGTAATTACAATGGAGAAGTGGGAGGTTCAGATCACGTGTAGCAAACCTAGTGTGATGCTATATTTACAACTTCGAAGGGCAGTTAGGGGTTCCATACTTCAGATTTGTAGTTCAGAGCCAAATGATACATTAAATGTGTATTTGTATGTATGTGCCTTTTGAAAAATTGCCACGGTGGTCTCTAACACAAATCAGGACCACAGGTGTGAGGGGGGGAATTAAAACCACCCGTCCTCTAAAGTGGCTATTTTCCCCTGGAGGGAAGCTGCAATTGCAGTTTTTTGAAGAAGAAAAAACCACACCATGCAAATGCTTATTTAACATAATGTGTAGTTTGGCTCTCATTCCCATTGCCATTATGCTACATTAACTCTCATAAGGACCATGCAAGAAGAGGATACCACCCCTCAGCTTAAAAGGGGGAACGTTCCCTGGGATCATGTGGGGTCAAACCTTTGCAGAATTACACGCTGTCTCCATATGCCTGTGCTAGTGGTTAAATGTGTGTCTTTATCCTCGCATGGGGTAGGGAGTGTTATACTTGGGTGGTTGCCATCGCTGGGAGATACAAAGGAAGGAATGCTCAGCAAACATCTTTGCTTGTGTACCATCTGTCTGCTTTCAGCCACATGACATGACGAAAAAGATTCCACGGTAGAGCTTTCGTTTCTTTCAGTAGCGTGATTCACCCACTTTCTTCCACAGACCAAAAATTCTCTCCTCTTTGTAGCCAATATGGATGGAGCTTTAGAATTCTTCTCTGATAGTTAAATATTTTGAGTGTTCATAGTTGAAAAAGAAATCAATATGTCTTTCTCCTCTCCCCACCTCTTCCAGCAAGTCTGTCAGGTGTATCTGGGTATTGTTTTTTGTTGGATATTATGGTGTGGTATTTTTAAGTTTTTATATTGTAAACTGCCCTGGGATTTCTGGATGAAGGATGGTATATAAAGTGAAATAATAATAATAAAAACTTCAATAATTTAATGTGGCAATTTCTGGAGTTAAGACCTCGAGTCTAGGAATTTCTTGAAACTTTCACAAGACTTACACTGCAACCCCTTGTGTGTTTGTTTCAGAAGTGGATCTTTACCCTAAGAAACCAGGGGGGAGATTTTTTTTTAATGGCAAGGGCTGCCTTTGAATCCATTGAAACGAATGCGTAGGTTTGAAAAGCTAGCCACCAAGCTTCCTTTGGTGACTATGAGTTATGTGCTCACAACCTGCTGCCTGATGAAAGCATGATGTGCGAGATCCCCTCTCCTGAGTTTGTTGTGTGTTGTAGAAATCTCAGAGGGGAAACTTGCTTTTGTCTAGACGGGAGAGCGAACAGCCCTTCTGCTTTCCTGAGTTCCAGAGGTCTTTGGGCAGGATTGGGGTCATCTTCCCTCTGTGCACCAGGATTCGCTACGACTGTTGCAGCAGCAGTCGTCCTTTCGAGCACATTCAGCGTTACCGCTTGAGCCATGCTGTGCTTTGGAGATGCTGAAAAGCGAAGGACACAATACGAATTCTTGCTGCTTTTAAGTGTCTACAGATCCCAGTGCAAAGTGGCCTCCCTTCTCCTTGGGAAGAATTGAGCAAAGTAATTTCACCTGTGCCATGGAAAGAGAAGACCGCATGCTGCTGCTTCTAATCCCCTCTAGTAGGATGTGGATCATTAGTAGAGTACCCATCCCAATATGCTAATATTTGGGGGCGGGATTGGTGATGGCACACCAGAAGAGGGATGCTAAGGTCATGGCACATTATTCAGTTTAAGAGGCTGACCCAGTTTTGAAAAAGGCAATTCCATGCTAGGAATCATCAGAAAAAGGAATCGAAAATAAAATTGCCAGCATTGAAGCAGGTTTCTGCAAATCTGTCGGGCACCACACTTTGAATACTCTGTGCAGTTCTGGTTGCTGCTAGAAGGATATTGTAGAACTAAGAAAATGGCAGCCCAATGATCACGTGGCTGAAACAACTCCTCTGTTTGGAGCTATTTAGTTTGGGGGGGGAGGAGATAAGGGGGACATGCTAGAGTTGTATACAATTAATGCTTGATGTGCAGAAAGTGAACAAGGGAGAAGCTTTTCTCTCACACATATTTCTGGATCCCAGGGCCATCCAGTGAATCTGAATGGTAAGAGATTCAGGGCTGCTGCACCGTGCTGAACACGCGGAAACTCCTTTGCCTCTCTTGGGAGGGATACTTTTGTGTGTTTGGGGAAACATGAAAAGCAGCGTTTGTATGAAATGCCCCAGACACAGTGAACATGTAAATCGCCAGCAGACCGATGTCCATGTAGAATGATCCGCTACCTCTAAAAACCGATTTGAATGCCAGAAATAGTTGTTTTGGAAGGAAGGCTTGGACTTTCAGCAAATGCTTATTGCAAGGCTTCCATGGAAGTGTGTCATGTCTGTGAGCAACGTATGTATTATAATCGCATTGTTTTAGGGTGTTGTTTTTAGGTATGACTCTCTAGACCAGGGGTCGGCAACGTGCGGCCCACGAAGACTGCTTTACCGGCCCACAATCTGCCACTGAACCAAGCCGCCTGCTCGGCGAGTCCCCCGCGCCTTGCATTAAACTGGCACGGCACGGGGACTCACCGAGTGGCACTGGAAATTGCATCTGTGCACGCGCAGATACTGGAAATCGCGTCTGCGCATGTCCAGACACCAAAAATCGCTTCTGCCCAGCCACGATTTTCGGCATCTGGGCATGCGCAGAAGCAATTTCCGGCATCACGCTGCGCCAGTCCGGCCCACAGACGGTCTCAGTGGGAGTGATCCAGCCTATGGCGGGTAAACCTTGCCGACTCCTGCTCTAGACCATGCTTCTATCCAGATACAATATGAAGAGTTGGCATTAGGCTCACCTAAATCGTATTTTATTCTTCCATTAGAACATGTACATGTTATAGGACAAGTCAAAAAATATAATTGGCATGTTAAGGTTTGAAACAAGTAAATTCAGTAATAGGCTATCTTGTTCTTCTAATAGCTCTGACACTGAATAACTGTTTTGGTGACTAAAACACAGCTTGATAAACAAAATTATATGCATACATATAAAAAAGAAGCCATTAACATTAAATTTATTATCATTATATGATATTATATTTCAGTATGTCAACCTCTGGTAAGTGGCATCTTGTACCATTGAATGGCACTGTAAAAACCAGTTACTGGCACTAAATAAACATATAGAAACGTCAACTGCTTAAATCAAAGGCACCTCATGTGCTGTTACACATAATTGTATAGGCCTAGGTACTTTAAAGTGTGTAAAGCATTAAAGCGATTTTTGTAAAAACAACAACACTGTATGGCCAAGGGTATAGAATTGCTTAGAATAAGATTACACAAAAATAGAAAAAAGGCTATTACATACAGTTGAAATACATACGAATTCAAGTGTTCATCAAATTGAATGAATAGCATTTTTAAAGCTTTAAAAAAATATGTTTTCTGTAGCTAACATTTCAGAACTGTCTATGGTGAATGACACAATACCCAGTAATGTAGCTGCATAAAAAACAACAACCCAACAACATTATTCATTACTTACAGTGGCAATATCACAGCTTGACTTATTGTTTACTAGATTTTTTAATGTGGGTCGTAAAACTGGTTCTTACATTAGAATTTACAGTTTGCGGAGAATATTCTCCGGAGAATTTTCTAGCAGAGAATATTCTCATTCTCGAGAATGCTCTCCGGAGAATATTCTCACCTCACATCACTAGTGATAGCATTGATCTCACCCTGAAAAAGAGAAGCGGTTGAGATGCTTGCTGCCAACCAGTTAAAGTGTTACTTGGCACTTGGACCGAATTCACGCCTGGGAGAAGCAGCCCAGGGATCCGTGCAAACTACCTTATTAACCGTCTCAATGTGTTGCCTCATTTTAACAATAGTTCGCTTTGTGTCCACAGTTGGAAAATTCTGAGTTCTGCCTGAGGCCCACCACCACGATTTGCACTGAAATTGGAAGCGGCGTGAACACCAGATCCTTAAGCTAGCTCGGCCTGCCAATCTGCCCACAATGTCGGGACCTGTGCCAAGCAGGGCCAGAGTCTACACAGATGTAAATACACACAGACCACGAGAATACTGGGATTACGAGTCGCACGTTGTTGAATGGGGGTAAGTGCCCACATTAGTTTACTGGCCGTGTGCGGCCCATGTTGGGTTTGGGGGATTGGCCCTGGTTCCTTCTGTATTCGCAAAGTGCTGTTTGTTTCAGTAGATGTAACCTAGTGCTATTCCCCACATTTTGTTGTGGGGAGGAGAACCTGGGAATTCTCTTGTTAGGGGAAAAAAGGAAATCTGTAGAGAGAGGGGCTACTTAGCTCTTCAAAGGAGAGTCTGTTGCTCAGTGGTGGGGTACAAACTTATCACATTAAGTTCCTGGCATTTCTGTTAAAAGGATAATTGGAGATGAACATCTGCCTGAGACTTTGAAGAATTGTTGAGCAGCTGGTACTGGTCTAGGCTGGCCAGTGCTGTGACTCTGTTCCAAGTTGCTTTGTTGTTAAAATAGCATTTTATTATTCTTGCACCATCAATCTGTATGGAGCAGTGCAGAGTAATATCTTCAAATTTGTCCTTACAGGGGAGTGAGTGGGGCGGACCTCTAGAAACATTCTCTAATGTGTCCACCTTTGTGAATAATCTGGCGACACGTTTTGAAATAGTGATTTTGGAGTGGTGCATAATGTCCTTTGTTGGCTTTGTCTTTACAGTAATCAAGATGACTACCAACTAGTCCGGAAATTGGGCCGGGGCAAATACAGTGAAGTCTTCGAAGCCATCAACATCACAAATAATGAAAAAGTAGTTGTTAAAATCCTGAAGGTGAGCCTCTAATGTTTTGGCAGCTGCTGCTGCAAGCAGAAATATTTTTGTGCATTATGTCCAAGTTGGTTCTTGATAATGGGTAGGGGTAAAGGGGACCCCTGACCATTAGGTCCAGTCGTGGCCGACTCTGGGGTTGCGCGCTCATCTCGCTTTATTGGCCGAGGGAGCCGGCGTACAGCTTCCGGGTCATGTGGCCAGCATGACTAAACCGCTTCTGGCCAACCAGAGCAGCGCACAGAAATGCCATTTACCTTCCTGCCAGAGCGGTACCTATTTATCTACTTGCACTTTGACGTGCTTTTGAACTGCTAGGTTGGCAGGAGCAGGGACCGAGCAAAGGGAGCTCACCCTGTTGTGGGAATTCGAACCGCCGACCTTCTGATCAGCAAGCCCTAGGCTCTGTGGTTTAACCCACAGTGCTACCCGCGTCACACATGATAACGAGTAGCCACTTGTAAAGGACGTAGAGTTCATATTTTTGAGGGACGTGTTACAGCCAGTTTGCAAGACCTTGAGTCATTTGACTGTTGAGGGCAGATTTCTAAATGTTGTATTGTGACGGGTGGGGTGGCACTTTAATGACTGGCCTCTGCCCTGACACATTAGTGTGGGTCGCCATTGGCAGCCCCATATTCCCCAACATTTTCTGCAACTGTCATTTGGATGTACACTGGGTATATGGTGGAATGATTGATGTGATTTTATACTGTAAACCAGCCTGTGATCCTCAGATGAAGGGCAGCATATAAATTTAATAAATAAATTGAAGTGAAGTGATGGGAAAAACCCCTTGCCCAATTGATAAGCTTTTAAAGCTGCTCTACATTTATAGGATATATGAAAGGCATACAGAATTAAGAATATACACATAATATAGAGCATAAAACACTACAACGTACAAGCCAACAAGAATTAGAATAGCCTAATTCGAGAAGGCATGGGGGAAAGGAATGAAGTACTCCCGTGCTTAGGGGTGCAAGCTTTCAAAACTAAGTGAGTGGTTGTGAGAGATTTAAGGGAAATAAGGGGAAGTTGGAATTAATTTGGAAAATGTTCCGAAAATGCTCAGAATAGTTGAGAGAACATAAGCAGCAGATGGGCTTCTGGCAAAGCAAATGTTTCAACTGGACTGAAAATACAACAACACTCTAGTATTTTCAACAGTAGTTGAAAACCCCTCTATCTCCCTTTGGAGAATAACAAGTTGTTAAAGTCTCCGCTCCTTAGGTTGACACCAAATGGCCGTTTAGAGCTGCTTGCATGAAGCCCAGCTTTCTCTTAAAGTAGAGGCAGTAATGAGCTTGCTGAATGTTAATGATGCCCTGGCCTTACTTGTCCTCTGCAAATGTTCACCATCTGGTTTTGAGTGGCTTTCTTAGCAGCAGATGTTGGCTTTCTGTAGCCATTGTTCTCTTTGGCTAGTAGAACTTCGCTGGCAACTTCACACTGGAATTTCCCTACAGTTGGTGGTTTCCAGCGTCTCAGAGAAGTTTTAAACATGATCTGGAAGCTGCTTGAAACATAATCTGGCAAACGGCACAACATCGCCTGCGGTGCAGCCGAATCCTAAAATTCCTCTCCCTGCTCGCAGATTTCAAGTGCTTTCTAGGGTTCCACCTGGAAGGCGGTGTGTTTGTGTGTGTGCTAAATGACTGCGAAGGAGTGGGGAGGGGGAGATGCTGCTCACTGTGTGTGCTGAGAATGGGATAAAAAGCAACAGATTTAAACCTTTAGGAGATGCACGTTAAACCTTAGGATAAAGCAGAGCAGGAAATCTCCTTTTAGATTGCTGGCAATTTATATCCCTATTTGTGTGAGCTTGATCAATAAAATTGGAGTAGGTAGCGCAAGCTGACTCAAAATAGGCACACAAGCCTAAAATCGCAAAACATTTCAAGCAGCAAATTTGGGGCGGGGGGGGGTGCTTGAGCCTGGGCAGCCCTGATTGCAGGCAGCCAGTAACCACAATGATGGCTTAGCACAAGAATGGAATAAAGTCGCCTTGCGTATCTCTGATGAAGCTTAGGCTTTGACCAAGGTTAAGGCAGATGGTGAAACAGGTGGCCTGGCTTAGCTTCTCCCAGACATGACAGCTGCCTCGGCAAGAGGTTCGACGTTCACCACTTGGTCGTCCAAGCCGCTACAAGCACTTATGGTTTACATGCAGTATCTTGTAAGTGGCTGAGAGGCCTGTTTTAGTGGGAAGGACAGAGAAGAGCTAGACTTGAGCAAACAGGGCAGGCAGGTGAGTACCCCATGTTCTTATGCAGAAAGCTTCATGCAAGCTTTCAGTGAACTCTGAACTTTCCAGATGTTTGGGACTCCAAACCCAATGGCTGCGCTGGCTGGGGCTAATGGGAGTTCCTGTCCAAAACATCTGGTGGGCACCAGGCTGGGGAAGCCTTGAACTATTTGGGCTCCTGAGTATTTATTACACGGTTTGTTAATTACGAGTTGGAGGGTAGCAATTAAGTCTTATTCACCAAGATCCAAAGAGTCTCTTTAGATGTTCTCAAGGGCTTGGGGCTTAGTATGTTTTTCTTCATAACCTCATCCTTCCACGCAATATTCCAAACTGTTTTTCGGTTTCCCCTTTATTTAAGAAGTGTTTTGTCATGCAACAGGTGTGTGTGTGTGTGTGTTTTGCAGTTTTGAGAGAAACAAGCCCAAATCCCCTAAGACGTGGTTCTTTGTGGCCCAGCCATTGAAATTAACGGTGGCATTTCTTCTTCACATGCTGCCCAGCTTAGTATGTGGGTTCATGCGATGTTGCAATGGCTGCTGGGCCATTCAGAAAGCGTTGGGCAAATACGTGAAAGGTGGCCTTATTTAGGGCTACTAGCTGTGAGAGGTGGAAATGATGGTAATCTCAATACTTCCTGGTGTTGAATGAGATGGTCATCTTATGCTGCTTGTGAACTTCCTGGCTTGCCTCATTCATTCCATTTGGATCAGATGCTAGGAGCTGATTGAAGTATTCATCTGGCCTGGTATAGGGATCCATGGTGTGTGTGCATAAGATAAACACACACACACACACACACACACACACACACACACACTCTTTAACCCACTTTTTCAGGTGTGACACAGGCTTCCAAGTTGCAGTCAACAGTTTAAAATGAAAATTGGGTAGGAACTCACAGCTAGATTGTTCTTTGTAAAATTAAAAAGATCTAATAATAAAAACCAGGTGCAGCAGTACTTTCAAAGCTGCAGTGGGATTCTTTCCCTGCACTCTGACTGGCTTCACTTGGGCTTGAAACGTTGCCTTGGGTAAACGGGCATTTCTCTCACCAGCCTGTGAAAAAGAAGAAAATCAAGCGTGAAATCAAAATCTTGGAGAACTTGCGAGGCGGCCCCAACATCATCACCCTTGCAGATATAGTGAAAGACCCTGTGGTGAGTAGCTCTGAGGTTCTGGAGCAGCTCCAGGACTGCGCGGTAAGCGGAGGGGGGAGAGAAAGCTGTGACAGTTGGTTCGTAAAAGGACTGGACAAACTCCGGGGAGAGAGAGCCATCAGTGTTTAGGAGTCATCATAGCAGCCCAGTGGGACCTGCTTCTGCAGAGAGAGCCTGCCTTTGAGTGTCAGGTGCTGGAGACGAAAAAGAGGTAGCTGCCAATTGTTGGAAAATGAATGCTAGACTGGACTGGGCCTTTAGACGAGTACTAAATTCAAAGTGCTGCTTTTGAGCTATAAAGCCTGAAGCGGCTCAGGACCGCAGTAACTCAGGGACTGCCTCTTATCATATGAACCTGCCCAGACCCTGCAATGATCATCGGAGGCCTTCCTTTGTGTGGCCCCTCCTCGAGAGGTGTGGAGGGTGGCAACACAAGAACAGGGCCTTCTCTGCAGTGGCTCCCCATCTGTGGAATGCTCTCCCTAGGGAAGTTCGCCTGGCGCCTTCATTATACACCTTTAGGCACCAGACAAAAATGTTCTTCTTTAACCAGGGATTTGGTTGTTACATCCTATGCCCTTAAAAAAAAATGAGGGGGAAGGGGGTTATTAGGTTGTTTTTGCTCTTATTTTTTTATTTATTTATTTTGTGTGTTTTTTTACCTTGTATTTTTATGTTGTGAACCGCCCTGAGACCCTTTGTTGTGAACCTTTGGCCCTCCAGAGGTCCATTGGACCTCAACTGTTGAGTCCTAACCAGTTGGGCTAATAGACAGGGATAAGGGAACGTGAGGGCCAGCAGCAATTGGAAGCACCACAAGTTCCTCGCCTCCTTTCCGGTGGGATGCCAAGAAAGGTGTTCGTCTTCAGATGCCAGTAGGACAAGGCAGATTGTCGAAGAACAGCTTCTTTGCTTGTGTCTCTGACACCGATGACTTTCTGTGTGTGTGTGTGTCTGGTGCTCAGTGTTGGGAATGCAGGTGTGCAGTCAAGCTGTATATCTCAGCATTTCCGGTTACGCGGTCCTTTTGTGGAAGGGAGGAGAGGTAATGCGCCCCTTCTTGAATAATCTGTCTGCACTCACAGGAAATGTGGGCTGTGAAAGAGCTCTGGGGGGCTGTGCTTTTAGTGGGTAAAAAGCCTGCCGAGTGGGCCAGCTTGTGAATTACAAGCCCCCCTCTCCCCGTTTATCCATCTGACTGTGAGAAAGAGGTAGCAAATGCTTCACTCGAATGGGGTAGCAGGTTAAAAAGAGCACAGAATTGTGTACACGTATGAGCTGCTTTTGTCGTCCCAGGTACTGACACAGCAGGAGAACTCCTAGCACTTTATTAAATATAAAACATGTTGGCATTTCAGGCGTCTATTGATCACAAGATGCAGCATTACTTCCGCACAGCCCCGCTCCCTGTTTGCTCTCTGGTTTTCCTCTAATCCTATTTTCGAATTGCTTAATCAGATCAGGCCTTTTAATCAGATTAGCTTCTCTCAGAGGAAGCTCCCCCTCCCTGCAGTTCCTTCTAGATTTTGTGGAAATGTGGGCTATTGCATTTGGTGTAACTACAACTAGTCAGATGCTTGAAACCTTCTGCAGAGGATGGCGGAGAAGTGAGGTCATGTATGTGTTGATAAGTATTAGGCCTATAAAGCAAAGAAGGTCCCAACATGACTGACTGTTTTGGTTTCCTCCTCCTAGTCTCGGACCCCAGCCTTGGTTTTCGAACATGTAAACAACACAGACTTTAAGGTATGGTTTGTCACTCAGCCTTTGGGGTTTTAGAATATTTAAGGATGGATGCATGCCTGGTTTTGGGGATGCTGCAATGGTGAATGTCCTATATTGGCAGAGGGTTCAACCCAAATGACCTTTTGAGGTAGGTTAGGAACTCTGTTGTTCATCTAGAGCAGGGATGTCTAACAGGTCGATCACAATCTACTGGTAGATACCTTTCCTTAGCGTTGGTAAAATAGAATTCCCCCACCCCTGCTCCATTGTTGGTCAATCTCCAGCTAAAAAGCTAAACAACTTTGACCTGAACCTCTAAAAAAAACAGGATTTTCCTCCCTAAAAAAGCTCAACAGTTTTGCCCTGACCCCCACCCCAAAGGGGTAGATCACTGCCAGTTTTTTATTCTGTGAGTAGATCACAGTCTCTTAGGAGTTGGCCGTCCCTGATCTAGAACCAAGAGATGAACACAGCAAGCAGGTAGTTAGTGTGCATGCATGGAGGTACGCATGTGTTACTTACAGGTCCCCTCATTAGGGAGTCACGATTGGCTGCAGCCTTGTCCTGAGTGTACACTTGGTAGCTATCCAGGTTGGTCTCCACCAGTGCCTTTTTTCTAGAATAATAGGTGCCGGTACTCACCATGAAGTTGTTACAGTAAGTGCCACACCTTTTAACAACAACAAAAAGGGGTGCCGGTACTGTGCACCCTTGAATACCCCTTTGAAAAAAAGCACTGGTCTCTGCATAATGTGTGACAGAGCCTCAATAATGTCCCCAAATACTGAATTACCTTCCTCATCACATGCCCCATAATGGATGACAAAAAACAAACAAACCCCTAACCCCCATAATTTGTTGCTTGAAAACTTAATTTTTTAACATTGATGTCTTACAGCAATTATACCAAACGTTAACAGACTACGACATCCGGTTCTACATGTATGAAATCTTGAAGGTGAGTTTGCCTTTTCCCTTCCTGTTTGGGATGGGGGGCAGGGAGGTGAAGCATGAGGTTGGCTGAGAAATGGCAACCAGCCACCCTGAGGAGTTGAAGGAGTTCTCTCTTCCATTGGTTATTCTGAAGAATCTTTGTGTTCCAGACATAACCTAACATTGCCCAGGCAAATCCTGCTTGCCTCGGAGCCGTCACTTGTTCCATCGATCCATTACCATGATTACCAGAAGTGCTAGTAATGTTTAGCATGGATATTGGTGCCTGTTCTTGATGGCTGTCAGTACTTCGCTCCAAGTGCCATGTGGACTGTCCATGTGATTTATTAGAGCAGGGCTGCAGAGCGTAAGCCCAGGAGCCTTATCAGGCCCTTTGAGGTCTTTGGTGCAGCCTGTGGCATCCTCTTACCATGCACATGGTTGAAATCAGTGTTCGAAATTAGCTAGGCGCGTTTTCGACTGGCGTGGGTCCATTTGCGATGACATGGAGATCTCTAGATGCCAGTTTGTTCAGCGGACATCTCCATCTGCCTCTGGCCCCTCCAGATTTCTTACGCAGGCAAGCAGAAGAGCTTATTCATTGCATTGACCTCCTACCTTTTCCTCCAAGGAGTGCAAGGTTTACCCCTCCTCCTCAGTTAATCTCTACAACGACCCTGTGAGGTAGGCGAAGAGGCTTCGGCTGACTCCAAGGTCATCCAGTGAGCTTCATGACGGAGTGAGGATTTGAACCCTGATCTCCCAGGTCCTAGTCTGACACTCTTAACCTCTACACCACACTGCCTTCCTAGAGTACTTCTGCTATGGTGCAGCGATATAAATTAAGTAGGCAGATCAATACGGGGAAAGCAAAATGCCACTTAGAGAAGGGTCTGAAATATAATCCTTGAAGGTTGAATTTGTTTTATTCTGGACTGTCTCGATGTTTTAATGTGTGGTAAACCACTTTGAGATTTTTCTTCAAGATATAAAGCGGTATAGAAATGAAATTGATGATGATGATAATAATAAACCCCACTGCAGTAAAATAATGCTGCCTAGACATTCCGTTGTGGCGAACATAACCTAGGTTTAAGGTGCCATTTGGCGATGAACTTAAATATCTGGGGTTCTAACGCTGATTGAAATCCCTTCCACTTTTTTCAGGCCCAGGACTCACTTTTAACTCAATCATGCATTTGAGGACCCAGTTCTTAATCTTCTACCATATATTTGCAGGGTGGTGGTTCTCCTGTAGGCAAAACCTGCCTTGGATCAGGCCATGACCCACTAGCAGGTCCCAACCCCCAGCAGTTGAAGACCAGTGCCTTGGAGCTAGAAAGTTGATGCCTTGCATATAGGGCAATGGGGCAGGCTTGGCAATAGATGCTGCTGAAGCTTTTGGCCTCTCCCAACATTCCCAGTTAATCATGCATGGGGAACCTGTGCTCATTGACATGTTGTTGGACTCCAACTCCCATAATCCCTGACCATTGCCCATGCATGGTGACTGGGGCTTCCGGCGGTTGTAATTTAACAGTGCTTGGAGGACCACATGTTCCCCACTTCCCCACTCCTGCTTCACAACACAGCTACCTACTGTAGCTTCAAGTAACGTGGCAATCTGAGAGCCTTTCGATAGGAAGGAGGGCTAACTTTCAATGGATCCTGCCTGCCTGCTCCAGTCAGCCTCTGCAGCCTTATTTAGCTTCCCACCTGCATCACAAGCATTTCTGGTTGGAACTTGAGACCTTTTCTGTTTTGTTGTGTTGTAAGTTGTGCAACTCCCTCTTGAGGGAGGTTTAATTAGCTTCCTTCCTTTTCGACCAGCTATTGGGAACTCTTCATCTGACATTCCCTTGTGAAAAGTCTGTGTCTCCCCACTCAACTGGCACTCTTGCCCTTTGATTCTGCTCCTGCGTTTTTGCATTGGGGCGACCTTTGGGAAGGCTCTGTTTAGGGCTGCAAAGCACCATGCGGATTTTCATACAGATAAAGTTAAAACGAGCGAGGTGGGGATCTGATCTCTGATGCCCGCGGGCATCTGGTTGGCCACTGTGAGAGCGGGATTCTGGACTAGGTGGGCCGCTGACCTGTTCTGATGTTCTTAGGCTCTTGTTCGTGATCAACATGCCTCTCTTCCCCAGGCCCTGGACTATTGCCACAGTATGGGGATAATGCACAGAGACGTCAAACCCCACAACGTCATGATTGACCATGAACACAGAAAGGTAAGGCTTGGGGGTCTTTGTCCTCTGTTTCTAGTCGGGATTTAATTGTGGCGGAAGCAAAATTCCTCTGGTGCACTGCTGCTGCTGCTGCTGTTGTGTGTGTTTGTGGCCTGTTAGTAGCAGGAGTGGAAAAGAGATTTCCAAAAAGAGATTAGTATGGAAGGTAGGAGTGAAATCTTGCACATTTAGCTTCTGCAAAACTCCTGTTGGCATTCAGGCGTTTTACCTTCATTGAGTACTTTACCTACCAAAGCTGCTCTGGGTATGTGCTGCAGAATCCTGTCGTGTTGCAAGCGTTCTGGAGCATGTCCCAGAACAGAGTTGGTTCATACAGGATACTGGTCAAGCCTATTGGACTTCACCCCCATTCTTTGTGAACTAAGAGTAAGTTATAAGGTATGTTCCTTGTGGCTACACCTCACAAGGGGAGGCGGGTGATGGTGGTTGGTTTGTCGTTCGGGGGGAAACATGACCACTCATTTCAAGGTACAGTGTAAAATGTTAAAGATACTGTTATTTTTATTATTCTCGCTATTTATTAAATTGGCACACTATTCATCTGTAGATCTCAGTTCACAATATATCGGTAAGGAGCACAGATGTTGAACAGCAGGATTCCCCAACGTGGTTCCTCCTGGACATTTTGGACTACAGCTCCCATAGCCTCTGAGAATTGGCTGTCCTGGCTGAGACTGATGGGAGTTGTAGTCCATAACATTGGGGAGGACACCAGGTTGGGCAAAGGCTGGTGCATGGTGTGCCGAGAAGGAAGAAGGATGTTTTCTGCAGCTCCCATTTCAACTCTTCAAGGGTCAAATTGATTTTTTTCAGTTTCTTCCGTTTTGTATTTTTCTCTTCCCCCAGCCTGCTCGTCTAATTTACCCTTGTGTGAACTTTGAGCCGAAGCTATTCATTGCTGTAATTATTGATCTTTCATCTGAGAAACACTGCTTTTTGGTGGTTTGACTCCTATTTTCCAGGCCTTGGCTACTCATCAGAGCAGAATTATCCTCTGCCCTCCTACTCCTCCCTCTCACTCACAGTTCAATAGTTCGATTGCACTATTTTTGTCCCTGACCACGCCAGATGGTGTCAGTTACGTTTTGCGCTTCCGCTCAATTAAATCTTCGCATCATTTCATAACATTCCATTTATTTCTGATGCTGTTATTTCCTGCAGCAAGCAATCTGCACAGTCACTGGAAGATGCAGGCCAAGGTAAAGAGGTTTCTTCCTCCTCCTCCTCAATCTCCTTTCCCTTTTCCCCTTTTAGCTCCGGCTAATAGATTGGGGTTTGGCTGAATTCTATCATCCTGGCCAAGAGTACAATGTCCGAGTGGCTTCTAGATACTTCAAAGGCCCAGAGCTCCTCGTAGATTATCAGGTAACTGTCCCAGCTATGGAAATAATCAGGTTTGTGGAAAAGCAGCACAAACAATTAAAGAACACAAGCGCATTCAGCCCTAAGGTTAGAAAAATCAGTTGAACGTTTCTCTTTCCCCCTTCCCCTCCTGGTAGAACTGCATTTCCTTCCATTCTCATTTTAGACACCCCTGGTGCTAACTGCATCCTTACCTATTTAGCTTTCAGTTTGGGTGTGGAATTGATGGAGGGTTCATTTCGTTTACTCTGCTCCAAAGAGTGCTGGCTCCTGCCCATCTGGGGCTTGCAGGGGTGTAAGGCAGGAGGCTGCCAGCAGGTGGAGCCAGAGTCATCTAATTCTGGTTTTGCCTGCACCGCGCTCCTCCTCGCTGAGTTCTGCAAGGTCAGCACTCACACGAAAGAGGAAGAAGGTGACGCCCATTGCCCTCCCTCTGGTTGCCAGAAAGCAGGCAGGCAAGTTGGGGTTGGCTTGGATGCAGATTGAGGTTGGTGGGGAAGTGCCCCATTCTTCCCAATGGACCAGTCTCTGGGCCTGAATGGATTGTCCCTGTTTGTAACATGGCAGTGGTCACAGCAGCTCTGTCTCAGCAGATGAATCTGCTTCTCTCTCTTGGGTGTTGTTCCTTGAAAGAACAACAACAACAACACTTTATGATTTATACCCCACCCATCTGGCTGGGTTTCCCCAGCCACTCTGGATGGCTCCCAACAGAATATTAAAAATATGCTAAAGCATCAAACATTAAAAACTTCCCTAAATAGGGCTCCTTTCAGATAATAATAATAATAATAATAATAATAATAATAACAATAATAATAATAATATATACCCCACAATCTGGCTGGGTTTCCCCAGCCACTCTGAGCTGCTTCCAGCAAAATATTAAAATACAATAATGTCTTCTAAAAGTCGGATAGTTGTTTACAGTGGTACCTTGGGTTAAGAACTTAATTCGTTCTGGAGGTCTGTTCTTAACCTGAAACTGTTCTTAACCTGGGGTACCACTTTAGCTAGTGGGGCCTCGCGCTGCTGCCACGCGATTTTTGTTCTCATTCTGAAGCAAAGTTCTTAACTCGAGGTACTATTTCTGGGTTAGCGGAGTCTGTAACCTGAAGCGCCTGTAACCTGAAGCATCTGTAACCTGAGGTACCACTGTACTGCCTTGACATCGGATGGGAGGGCGTTCCACAGCGTGGGCACCACTAACGAGAAGGCTCTCTGCCTGGTTCCACTAACACAGAATCGTAGAATTGGAAGGGTCCAACCCCCTGCAATGCAGGACTCTCAACTAAAGCATCCACAACAGGTGGCCATCCAGCCATAAAAACCTCCAATGAAGGAGAGTCCAATCCTTCCAGTGAGCACTCAGATTTGAATAACCCCTGAAGAACTACAGGGACTCCTCACCCTGAGGTGTGTATTTTCTTTGTGCCAAAGTGGTTGCTGTGAACTAGTCGTGGGGATTTGTTTTCACTCACAACAGGGCTTGGTTTGCGGTGTTCCTTTTGCCCCTTTTGCCCCTGTTAAGTGCACCAGACCGATGGGCCTGCTTTTGCTTCCTTTGCAGATGTACGACTACAGTTTGGACATGTGGAGCTTGGGTTGCATGCTCGCCAGCATGATCTTCCGAAAGGAGCCCTTCTTCCATGGTCATGATAACTATGATCAGGTGAGAGAAAGAGTGAAAGAGATATGATGGTGATGTTCAGGCACAGGGCTTTCTCTTCCTCCGTGACTTCTGCATGTTCTCAGCTTCCCAAGGGTTGGAAAAATCAAGAATTCACTGGATTGGCTCACATGTACGTTTCTCATTTGATCACTGCCAACTCCAGTTAGGACCTGCACGTATGAATGGTGCTACCATGGGTCACAGATATAAATTTCAGTTTCTCTTTCAGTCTGGTTTCTCTGGTTTCCAGTAGATTTTAGCTAGCACGTATTGGCTGCAAGCTGACATGAAGCAATGTACATGGGTGGTATTCGGCTAAGCCAGACTCAAGATTTATACTTCACTGGGTGTGCTCTGAATATGGCAGTCTGATGCCAGCCCATGTTCATCCAAAGCTACCTGCTCCCTTGCCTAACAGATCTCTTGACCAGAGGCGTAGCAAGCCCAGGTGGTACCCGGTGTGGAATTTTTTTTTGTCACCCTCTCCCCCCCCCCCCCGACAGCTCAGGGAAAGTTTGGAAGGCACGGGTGGGCGATGAATGTCTGCCCCCCTTCCTACGTCTCTGCACCCCCACGCCCGCGACTCCCAAGGACCCTGAGCTGTCGGGGGAAAGGGGGGAGCTATGCCGCTTTGCTGGGGCACTGGCAAAGCTGCGCAGCTCGTCCTCTTGGGAGCCACAGGTCCCGTCCATCCTCCTCCCTCCCTCCCCAGCTCGCTGTAAAGCAGCAAAGTGGGAACCGCTTACAGCAAGCAAGGGAGTAGGGATCCCACCGCCGTCCGTATGGCACTCCAGCGGCGCTGGTGGCAAACCGCTACGCACAGCGCATGCATGCGACACTGCACATGCGTTGTATCTAGTAGTTTGCCACCGGCGCCGCCTGAGAGCCGTATGGACGGTGGTGGGATCCTCTGCTCGCGGCTGCAGCCGCGAATAGAGGATCCTCCACATGCGGTGGTGTGATGGCTGCTTGCGCTGCCGCGCTCGGGAAAGCACCCCACGGGGTGCCTTCTTGTCACCCTCCCAGACGTGGAACCTGGGGTGCACCGCCCCCGCCCCCACCTTGCGACACCACTGCTCTTGACTTGCCCTGCAAATACTCTTGACGGGGAAATGAAGAGCAGCTGCCAGGGATTGTCGGGCGGATGACAGTGATCATATCCTGTTTTCCAATATCTCACAACTGCCCCGAGAAGCTCGTGTTTCTGCCATGGGGGAAGTTAACCTCCTGGTGTCTGAAGTGGCTGTGATCACCGTTTTCCAGCTGAAGTTGCTTATTTGGGGAAATCACATTTCACCAAAGTCAAGATTGGTGTTCCCATGTAAGGTTTTTTAATGGCACTTGGTGTCACATGGGCCTGTTCTGTGGCTGACACAGGGAGGCTCTTTGTGTGAATTTAGAGAACTCGCTCTTTAATGAAGTGCATTTTGCCCCGTCTCTCTATAGTTCAGGCACATCTTTTTCAGCAGGAATTTGGAAAAGGAGAAACCTGATGGCTGCTGCTATTAGCAGCTGTTCGTTATTGATTTGCTACTTGTTTTTTTTTTTTAAAGCATTAGTTGCTTTATGGATTTTTTTAAAAATCCCATTTGCTTGTTGTCAACCATCCTGTGGCTTGTACACAGGGCAGTACATAAATATCTCAAAATATAAAGATGAGCTGTCATTATAATTAACACTCATATAGTGCTTTCAAGGGTTTAGAGCTCTTGGCCTTTATTACCTAGCTGTGATCCTTACAGTGACCCTGTAAGGGAACTCCGTAATGTTGTTCCCAGTATTGGCGGGCAGGTGGGCGGACTGAGGCCGAGAGGGAAGAGTGCCTTGCCCAAAGCGAGATTGTATCCAGAGGCAAGACTTGAACTGGAGGCCTCCCCGATTCGTTGCTCGCATCTCCCAGCCACTGCGCTTCCACATGCTGGCTTACGCCTTCTGTTCACAGTTGGTGAGAATAGCTAAGGTGCTCGGGACAGAAGACCTGTACGACTACATTGACAAATACAACATTGAGCTTGACCCCCGTTTCAACGACATCTTGGGCAGGTAAGATGAGATTGATTTAACACAGTGGTTCCCAAACTTTTTGGGGCCATCCCCTCTCCAGTTCCATAAACCAATAATACAATAGTAATAGTTGGCTGCCCAACTGACTAGGTTGCCCCAGCCATTCTGGGCGGCTTCCAACTAAGAACACAATAAAGCATGAAACATTAAAAACTTGCCTAGACTTGCCTTGAGATGTCTTCTCTCGCTGTCTATTTAGTGGTCTGGAAGGGACATGTCCTTTTCGCTTCCTTCCACTTGCATCTCCAAACCATGCAGTGCCAAAACTGCTTTGTAAGGCGCTACAGAAACGGCAGGCGACTTGACTTCAAGTTACTTGTGTGCGTTCCTCTTTCCATTCTTAAGAGCCGCTGACAACGTGCAGAAATACTTGTATGCTGGTAGGGTTAACAGAGGCTGTCCAAGGGGGACTCATCCATTCGCTCTGTGTTCTCCCCCCCCGCCTGGCTCATAGGCATTCCCGCAAGCGATGGGAGCGCTTCGTCCACAGCGAGAATCAGCATTTGGTCAGCCCCGAGGCCCTGGATTTCTTGGACAAGTTGCTGCGATACGACCACCAATCCCGTCTGACGGCGAGAGAAGCCATGGAGCACCCTTACTTCTGTGAGTCTGGCCCTCCGTGGGCCCAGCTTTTCAGACTTTCATTATTTTTTTTTAAATAATATTTATTAAAGTTTCACAAGAAAATGATCACATTAATAATAATAAAAAGAAAAAAGAAAAAAATTAACAATAAAAAGAAAAATACACAATACAAAATACAAAAAGAGAAAAGAAAAAACAGTTAAAAATAATTCCGTCTTTTCATCACTTCTTTTACGTTTACTTGTTTCCCGGACCTCCTCATACCTCCCTCTTTTGTATTCCAATTCAGTTTGTTAGTCCAGCAATTTCTTTCCCTCCTTTTTAATCCTGATCTTTAATCTTAATATATTATAACATTAAATTTTTACCTATTAAAAACCAATTTTTCCATTCTTTTAACCATTACTGCTAGAAACCGCTTAACTTCAATCCGTCATCATTCTAACATTCATTAATTTTACAATATTTCTGTAAGTAGTCTTTAAATTTCTTCCAATCTTCTTCCACCGACTCTTCTCCCTGGTCTCGGATTCTGCCAGTCATTTCCGCCAATTCCATATAGTCCATCATTTTCATCTGCCATTCCTCCAGTGTGGGTAGATCTTGTGTCTTCCAATGCTTTGCAATAAGTATTCTTGCTGCTGTTGTAGCATACATAAAGAAAGTTCTGTCCTTCTTTAACACCGATTGGTCGACTCAGCTTTTCAGACTTTCAAAGGTGCAACGGTCAGGGAGGAGGGAGAGGTACACCAGAAAGGGCATTCTGAGCCTGTTTCTCCTTCCTAGAGAAGCCATGTTGGCGGTGGCACACAAAATAATCTGTGAGCTGCATATGGCAAAGTCTCATCGGAGCCGAGCTTGATTTGGGGCGGTAAAAGGAGGTGGGGGAAAGTAAGCTGCCCGTTCCCTCCCATCCCTGAGCTTCCGAAACAACCCAGCTGAATCCTGCAGTTCTTGTGCAAATATTCCACATTCATGAAGAATCTGCCTCTTGACTGTCAGGCAATTTTGCAGCCGAAGATGCTGCTTTGTGTCTCAATATTACAGGGTGAGTCTTTTAAAAGAGGCCCCATGGAACGTGTGTATTCTTTTAAAGGACTCGCCCTGTATATGTCCTGTTGTCACAAGGACTTGTGGGAATAAAAGTGTTTGGGGATTTTGCTTCCCCCTTTCCCATCCCCGCCAGTGGGAAGCTCTCTTGGGTATAGTGAAACCTGTTTAGATCGTACCGGTCCCAAATCACACTCCACAATTGATCTACCAGTGAGTTGCCATCCTGATGAGGGATGTTTTTAAGAGGAGGCAGACAGTTTGCCTTGCCTTCTTCTCCTCCATCCGGATAACCTCCAGCTCAGGGATGAGATATCTCTGCGCTGCAGCAGCCCTGGCTTTTCGCACCTACCAACAAAACCTGGGTTCTGCAACTTGTGTGAACTATAGCTGTTAGGAAACGGAGAGTAATTCAGCAGTTGTCATGCCAAACCCAAACCACCAAGCTGCATCTCCAGCAATACTTGCCTTCCCAATATGCAAGGCTGCATGTGTGACATGGGATTCTTGCCAGTCCTTCCCATCCATATTCCAGCTTCTCTTCACAGCCTCCGTGGCTGGAGACTTTCCTGCTTAAATAAATGAAACCTGTGATCACCAGCTGTAGGGCTGGGTGATACCTGGTTTTCAACATTGTGATATACCAGCAGCTTAATACCACAGTGTGCTGATATATCGTGATGTATGGAATGTTTTTCAGCTGCTTCTTCCTCCCCACCGTCTGCGGGCAATTTGGGCAGGGAATACATCATGGCTTCCCGGCCACCGCAATGCATTTCCAGCTCATAATGTCTGAAACCGGTATTGCCATACTGGTTTCAGACAATTTACCAATATATCACCCAGATCTAATCAGTTGAATGGCATGCGATATGTGTGATTCAGAAATAACAGGAGTGCATCCACCCCCTGTTCTAATCAAGATGCCTGGTTTGTTTGTGTTTTGCAGACCCCATAGTGAAGGACCAGGCTCGGATGAGCTCAACCAACATGCCGGGCAGCAGCACCCCCGTCAGCAGCGCCAGTATGTTGTCAGGTGGGTCCACAATCGGCCACGCTCGTGTCTGCACGGGCTACTGGGCCTCTGCCGGGCAAGCCTCATCCCACAGCCAGAGGTGGTACAGCCTGGGAAATGCTTTAAACCCCACTGTTCCAGCTGTTTGCATGAGTTTGGTTGATTGATTTGAGTTTATGCTGCTTTCCCACAACAAACTGTGGCCAAATCAGTTTCCAGAAAGCATTCGAAACACAGATACACAAAAGACAGAGCCCAAGTGTCAGTGCCATTTTCCCCACTTGCTTTCAAAGTGCCAGGACTCCCAAAGGGGCTGGCCGGCACATGGCTCGCTTATCACTTGATAGCTTAAATGTCAGGTGGTGGTACATGCGAAAGAACCATCGCAGATTGATTTTTGATTTTTTAAAGCATTGCTTTGATGCTTTCTATGAGATGCGGGTGGCGCTGTGGGTTAAACCACTGAGCCTTGGACTCTCTGATCAGAAGGTCAGCGGTTCGAATCCCCGCAACGGGGTGAGCTCCCGTTGCTCGGTCCCAGCTCCTGCCAACCTAGCAGATTGAAAGCACTCCAAAAAAGTGCAAGTAGATAAATAGGTACCGCTCCGGTGGGAAGGTAAATGGCGTTTCTGTGTGCTGCTCTGGTTCACCAGAAGCGGCTTAGTCATGCTGGCCACATCACCCGGAAGCTGTACGCCGGCTCCGTCGGCCAATAAAGTGAGATGAGCGCCTCAACCCCAGAGTCGTCCGCGACTGGACCTAAGGGTCAGGGGTCCCTTTACCTTGATGCTTTCTCTGTGTGGCTGGCTTATGTGTTCAGCAGTGAGTTAGCAAGCATTTCTGCAGTGGCCCAAAGGTGCTGGGCTCTGACAGGGCCACTGGCCCCACACTCTGACGCGAAACTGCCCCCTCTGTGGCCCTAACACTCTTCTCCTTCCCATCTAGGGCTTTCTTCAGTGCCAACGTCTTCACCCCTGGGACCTCTAGCGGGCTCGCCTGTGATAGCTGCTGCCAACACCCTAGGTATGCCAGTTCCAGCTGCCGCGGGAGCCCAGCAGTAGAGGAGGACACCCCGTCTCCCAGATGCCTGACCGGAGCCGGGTTGGGGCCGAGGTCGTTCCTCCACCCCCTTCCCCAGGACAACAGCAGCCGCTTGTGGCCGGCGTTGTGGGGAGGGAGAAGGGAGGGGATGGAATGCTTTGGAGGAGTTATGTCTGAACAGTTGCTTGTGGATTTATAGTAGTTCAGTCATAAAAAAAAGAAAAATATATAGGCCGATTTTCCCCCTTTTTTTACTTGAACTTTTCGTATCTCAGGGGGTTCCCTGACAAAATCTGCAGATGGAGTATTTCGTGGACAATTCTCCCCGCCCCCAACACTTTCCCTGTTCATTTTATTATTTGTAAGATCCAAGGCCATACGCCTGTGTATCTCGAGGGTCTCGGTTCTTGCCGGAAAGCTCTCCCTCTTTCCCCGTTCCTTCCTGCTGGCTGATGCCGTGTCAGGGATGGGGTGAGGGGTGAGACTTGCAAGGACCTTTCGCTTTCTCCCCCTTTTGGGAATTCCTGCGTTGTGCTCCTCAAAAGGCAGCCGGGACGGACGAAGGTCTTTAATCAGCGGTTGCGCCGTTTTTGCCTCTTTGCGATTGACAGCTAGAGTGGGAGGAGTTTCCGCTACCAAAAAATAAATATTCTAAGTTGCAGCAAAAGGTTTGTGGGACGGCAGCTTCCATGTAGGAAGGGGGTCTTCTCCTGTTAGCCCCCGTGGCTCACCGGCAGCACCTCCCCCCTTGCACGTGTCCTCGTTCGGAAGTTTTCACGTTTCTGATCCAAGTCAGAAGGAAGCTGCCTTGTCCCCTTGAAAGGAGTCTTGGCATCTTCCCATAAGTCGCTCTCTCTTCCCCGCTGCCCCCTGGCAAGATCCATCAATGTCTTCTTGGTTTGGTATTTTGGAAATGCATTTGTCAGTGGGTATCTCTCTCTAAAAGCAACTCAAGCTTCTGGCTGGCTGGTTGGTTCCGCCCAAACTGGACCATGCAAACTGACAGTGGGACAATTCACCTACTCACCTTCCTCTCACGTGCCATGTGGCGAGAGATGCCGCTGAATGCTGGGGTTTTGTTTTTTGCTTTTCGTTTTATTTTTAACCTAACTCGTGGTCTTGTAAATAGAAAGCGGAGGGGTGGGGGAGGTATGAACAGCCTCGAGACTTTGACAGAGAAAGGAAAAGAAAGCAAAGAACAAGATGGTAGACCTATCAGAAACCCTAGCCGTGGAGAGCATCTGCTTCCCCCTGTGAGCGTGTGTGTATATAACTCTTGTTCTTCCTATGCTGAAAGATCCAGTGTTGGAATTCCTTGATGTAAATAAAACTGTTGGGGTTGTTTTTTTTTTTTTAATTTATCAAAAGGTTAGGTTTTACGTTTCCTGTGCAGAGGTTCTCCCTGAGCCAGCGCCACGCTTCTTAAAACTCAGCTTGCGGCCCTCCGATCCACGAAGCGGGGGGCTTGGGGGGTAGGTGGGTGGGCAGGGTCAGGCCGCTTCTCCTTCACTGTCTATTTTGCACCGTGCACAGATTTGGTTCTAGTAGCAAACAGCGCTAAGAAGCCTTACCAGAAGCATCTCACAAGCCAAAGCATCGCCTGGACCCTCGGCATACGTTTTTCCTTTTGCACCTCAGCAGCGCTGGAGTTTAGAGGGGTGGCTCTCTGCGTGCTACTGTTCAGCGCCTGATTCAAACCACTGATGGGGGAGACTTGGAGGCACAGCAGCCCCTCCCCGTTTCCTCCAGAGTTGCCTCCTCGTTTGACAACCACTTCAAGAGGCGGTTTGCCTCCGGGGGAGCACCGATCACTTGATTTTTCAATAATATATGCAACTTTTGGGGGTCGGAGTTAGGTAACCACGTATTTCTTCCTGTTTTTATTAACTTTGCTTTCCCCCCCATTTTTGTTCTTCTGGGTTGTGACACTTTTGAGGGTGTGGTCGAAGCATGAGTGAATTGCATAGCGAAGAACATGAGACCCTGAGCTGCGTTCTCCGTTGCCTCCCCACCACCGCCTTGGAAAGTTAGTTCGGACTTAAAACTTCACGCAGCAGTAGCTTATTGGAAACGCTGGTGGGAAATTGTGGTGGTTCATGGCCTCCTGCGGATGTGGAAGCTAGGCCCATGCTAGACAACCTCTTCTTGGCAACAGTCGGTGACTGAAAGATTCAGCATTCAGAAATGTTGTGTCCATCTTTGCACGGCATGGAGAGACCTACAAAAAAACCTCTTCAAGCAGGCGATAATTTTCCCTCCTGTCACCTCCTTGGCAAATGGGGCTAAAGGGTATCCTAACGTCGCAGACCAGTTGAGCGGAGAGCCCACCCAGGGTGCAGATTTCAGTAAGCATCCAACCTTAAATCATGAGAAGGTGAGGGGAGAGCAGGAGGTTTCTGATTCAGGGAGCGATGCAAACAAATTTCCTTCTCTGTGCTTAATGCCAGTTTTGCTGCCCACCCAAGCAGCAGTCTTGAAAGGAGTGCGAGGAAACTGCAGATTGTTAACAGCATCTGTGTTGTAAATTACCTCATCTGTATACCTTGTATCAGAACACATTTTTTAAAAGGATTTCTCAGCACTTCCTGGTTTCACCGCGCGCGCCCCCTGCATTGTGTTAGATGGCAGGAAAATCAATTGCCAATACAGATAGTCTTGTTGGCAACTTAACTTTAAAAAAGGTTTTTTTAAAAAGAAGAAAAGAAAAAGTTTTTTTTTTAATCTTGTTTGAAGTGATCCTTTTTATTTTTATCTGTTGAAATTTAGATAATTATTATTATTATTTTGTTGTTTTCCTTTTGAATTTATTGGTTGTAATTGTATTGTACTTGTTCAGAACTAACCCTTAACTGTGCTGGGAAGAAGTTGTGCCATGGAGGTCTTTAATTTTTTTAAAATAAAATAATTGAAACTAAACTACACCCCAGCCCAGTAGTCGCTCCATTTTAAAAGCAGGCGGTAGTGGGAAATCCTCAGGGATTTTGTGGTTTCCGCACGTGTGGTAGAGGGAAGTGAGGGGCAGGTGGAGCTCGTCCACCTGGGAACGAAGCCCATCTAGGAGAAGGAACTCTCTGACCCTAAACCTCTGCAGCCTTGCAAGATATCCTCAGGAGAAGAAAAGGCTCGGGAGTAAACCTCACACAGATCTGGAGTCGAGTCCCTAAGGTAGTTGGATTGCACCTTGTATGCTTCATCCTGGCAACTCCTGCAGCCAAGCTGGTGCCAAACTCATTGTCCTGCTTTTCTGTGGATCCCATCAGTGAGGCCGAGAGAGAGGTCTTGTCATCTGGGCATCCCAGGACCTCCATGCATACTGCCCAGGCTTGCACCCTGGGGAGGTCCCTTCGGTGCTGCAAACATAGCCAAAACAATGCAGGAGGAAGTTATGAGTTACCGGTCTCTGCAGCCACAGCAGGCTCTGATTCTCCAGTGGTTTGACTTAACCTCTGGAGGTGCCCTCCACTGGCTCTCGAGACAGGCTGATGCCACACAAAAAGAAAGCTCTCGCATCCAAGATTTGCAGAGGTATTGACCAGGCCAAGTCCCAGCCAATTGGTTGTGTTCTTTCTGTGTCCTGCTAATCAAAGAATGGAATGGCGATGTTGTGCCTTCTTTCTTTGGACCAGGCTGGCCAGCAGAGGGTGATGAAGCTCCATCTGCTTTTTTTTTCTTTTGCTGTAACTTCGTAAAATTTATTTGGTGTCTCCCAGCTGTTTGTCTGGAGCTATAAAGAGGCCTTTCTGGGTGCTCCTATATGACTAATGTGACCCAATCTGAGTGGTTTATCATCTTCACTTTTCCACCCTGTCCATCTTCAAAAAGAGGATGGGATAGAAATTATTTTTTAATTGTTCAGTCACTCCTGCCTTCCCTTCATTTTAATTTTGGTTGGAACCCTTCTGCTATTTCAAAGATACACCCAGTTATCGCTTTCCAAACATAATATGCTCTCAATGAATTGTTTGGCGAGTATTTGCATGATGAGTTGACGATTTCCATTAATTCCCGTGGGGAAATCTCAAATCTGTTCTTGACCACAGAATTTTGACCTCCAAATGACGGGGAAGAAACCAGGGAAACCCTCTGAAACCTTGCAAATATGGAAGGGGAAAAAATGCTCTCTTACACGTCCGACCTCTCTCCACCATAATTTCAGGCAAAATGACTGCCGCAGACCAGCAAAACAAAAAATAAGGCAGCGTTGGCCGCAGACATGGATGGCTTTAAGAGAGAATTGGGACAAATTCACAGGGAAGAAAAGGGCTTTCAATCGCTACTAGCCACCACAGGCTTTGCTCTGTTTCCTTCGTGCAGAGGCTTCTGAATGCCAGTTGCTGGTGATCTTGCCCTCGTTGGGGGGCTGCTGTGTGGTGGCCCCACCTGGGACTGCCCACCCACCTTCCTCTCTGCTCAGTAGCCCCAGGAGGAGCAGCAGACAGAAAAGGGGGATTTTGCGCTCCCTCCTTGAGTCTTTTTGTCTGGCTGGGCAATGGGTGGAGGATAGAGAGGATTGCACAAGCCTTTGTAGGATTGAGGCTACTGCACCCAAAGGGAAATGTTGCTTTGGTTACCCTGCCCATTTTTGCCTCTGGCCCTGCCCACCAATGACCATGAGGCCCCCGAAAGCTTGCCCAGGAGGCAGTTTGGCCCTCGGCCTGAATAAGGCCCCTGGACTTAAAAGATGCGCAGAATTGGCCAGAACTTTACCATTTTATGTTGCAAACTGCCCTGTGGTGAAGTATAAATTATATATATCTATAGGGATATAGATATATATAATAAATGTAATAAGCTGATACATTAATTTATCAAACAATTTTAATAAATTGTATATACTTGGACTGAAATGAGACTTTAGCAGCCACGTGGGCCATGTGTGGAGAACCTTAAGCCCCTCAGATGTTGTTGGACTACACTTCCCATCATCCCTTGCCATTAGTCTTCCTTGCTGGGGCTGATGGGAATTGAAGTCCGGCATCGACGTGCGGGGCCAAAGGTCCCCGGAGCCCCCGCCCCTTGGCTGCGTTGCCTAGCGCCAAGCTCCGCCCCCTCCCTCTAACGTCCGCTTCCGGTTGATCGGGGCGCAGGTCGAAGACAAGAAAGGCTCGAGCCCTAGAGATAGAAAAAGGGAAGAGCTGCGCGCGCAGCTTCGCTCTGTAAGCCTGCGGAGAGGCGATTTCTGAGGTAACCGAGGCCAGGAAAACGGGGGAGAGACCTGGAGGTAGGGAAGAGAGGGAGCTCGGCCCTTATTCTGAATTTCTATCTTGGGGAGGGGCAGCGGGGTGAGCAGAAAGGGAAAAACGCCCTCCACAAAGATGGCGCCAGCGGTTTCCTCCCCGCGAGCCAATGGCAGTCGAGGGCCAGCGGGAGCGCTCCCCCGTCGCAGGGGAAGTGACGCGCCAGCCCGCGCGACTTCCCTTTCCTGTTCCTCCTTTTGCCCTTAGGCGCACGTGTGCGAAGCGGGGAAAGGAATGAGGGGCCGCCGGGAAAGACGGAAAGAGGTTAGTCCGGGTTCCCGGATCTTGGGGAGGTTGATTTCAATTTATTGGCTTTAATTTATTTCGTATAAACTGAAGGGCCGGGAAAGGCCGCAGGGAAAATCATCTGGGCGGGATTGGGGCCGCCCCGCTTTGTCCTTGGCGCGGGGCCACCTCGCCAGACCACCCCCCCCGACCCCTTCTTTTGCCTTGCTGCAACGGGGCCACCGGGAGGAGGACTTAGAAACCTCTTTCAGGATTTCTGTGTAAAGCACCACCAAAATCCCTTTCGGGGGCCTAATCCAGCCTTCCGGTTTAATCTGGCCCTGTGGCACTCTGTCTCCTGCGGTAAAACCCTAAAAAAAGCTCAACAACTTCAATCCTAAAAAAACTTCAGCAACAGGCATAGGCAGACTCGGCCCTCTTGGTGTTTTTTGGGACTACAACTCCCATCATCCCTAGCTCTCAGAACCAGTGGTCAGGGATGATGGAAGTTGTAGTCTCAAAAACATCGAGGAGGCATACACAAACTCGGCCCTCCTGATGTTTTGGGGATTACAACTCCCATCATCCCTAGCTAACAGGACTAGTGGTCAGGGGTGATGGGAGTTGTAGTCACCCAAAACACCTGGAGGGCCAAGTTTGCCTATGCCTGCTCAACAACTTCAATCCTAAAAAAAGTCCAACAATTTTGGGGTAAAATAATAGTTATAATGAAAGATCAACAACAGGCATAGGCAAACTCAGCCCTCCTGATGTTTTGGGACTACAACTCCCATCATCCCTAGCTTTCAGAACCAGTGGTCAGGGATGATGGGAATTGTAGTCACCCAAAAACACCTGGAGGGCCAAGTTTGCCTATGCCTGCTCAAAACTTTAATCCTAAATAAAGTTTAACAACTTTGGGGTAAAATAATAATAAAAGAAGATCAACAAGCTCAATCCAAAAAAAATGTCAACATCTGCATGCTCACTTCATCAAATCCAGCCCTCTTTGAAAAAAGTTTGGGCACCCCTGGTGTAAAGGATCAGATGTGAGTGGGAGAGCTGCTTCCTGGTGCCCCGTGGCCCCTGCAAAGGACGTCGGCTTGTGAATCATGGAATAGTAGAGTTGGAAGGGTCTTTGAGGGTCATCTAGTCCAGTGTTTTTCAACCTTTTTTGGGCAAAGGCACACTTGTTTCATGAAAAAAATCACGAGGCACACCACCATTAGAAAATGTTAAAAAATTTAACTCTGTGCCTATATTGACTATATATAAAGTAATTCTCTTGAATAGGAATCAAATAAACACAAACACTTAACATCAGTGGTGGGATTCAAAAATTTTAGTAACCAGTTCCGACATTCAAGCATGGTTTAATATTTTTTTCTTTAATGGCAAACAAAAACGTTGCGGACCGTTCTCTGCTCAGCAGGGATCGATCCGCTGATCCCCGCTGAGCCAGCGGATGACAGCTCCGTCTCCGCACTGTGTGCGGAGAGGGAGATGTCAGAGCCCCGCTGCTCTCTATGGGGAATCGGTCCGCTCTCATCCGATTTAATCCCCACACAGGACAGATGGAAAATAGGGTGGACACAGTCCGGCGCCCGCCTAGTGGGCGAAAATTTGACATTTTTTAAAAAAAAATCTTTCGAATTTTTCAATTTTCCCCACGGCACACCAGGCAACATCTCGCGGCACACTAGTGTGCCACGGAACACTGGTTGAAAAACACTGATCTAGTCCAACCGCCTGCCATGCAGGAAACTCCACTAAAGCATCCATGAAAGAAGGCCATCCAACCTCTGCTTTAAAATCTCCAAGAAAGGAGAGCCCACCACCTCTTGTGGGAGACTGTTCCACTGTCCAACAGCTCTTAATGGCAGAAAGTTCTTCCGTTTGTTTGGTCAAAATCTCCTTTCTTGTAACTTGAAGCAGTTCATTACAACAATCGATTCGGCTCCTGCCTCTCTCCTCCTCTCCACCAGGGACCTTGGTGCAGCCTCCAGCGCTAAAGTTGGGATGGTGCAGGATAAAAGCTATTTATTTCACATGTTTTTATTACATTTGACTAGTTACTTTTATCTTGCCCAGGGCAAACCAGTGACTTAAAAACAAACAGAAAGGTGTTAATTACCTTACAAACACAGTTCTGTTGTGCAATGAGGTTAATATGCTTCTTCTTATATTATTTGTGTAATTTCACACATGCAACTTAATTCTCTCTATCACAGAACTGGGAATAAGGTATATTTCTTTGGCATAAACGTTTTTAAAGAAATAAAAGGGTTTCCTGTTAGTAACCTCAGCTATCTTTCTAAGCACCGTGGTAATCCTCTGTATAGATGTTTAAAAACTAAACTGTCTTCATCTTTCTCAGGCTTGGAGTGCACAATGATGGGAGACCAGAGCAAGCTCCTGCGTGACACAGCAAATAAGAAAGATGTGTTTTGATCCTTATGCCTAAAGTGGGATGATCTGGAAGAGCGAGGTGAGAATTTGTACAATCCAACACAAGCTGGATTTGAATAAGGATCATTTAGCCTACAAAGTGTCCCAGAGTTCAGAACATGCTCATTTTAGGATCTGCTTCCAGTTTGTCCTATTTTTCTTTTGCTTGTTGTGGTGACCAAAGCCTAATAGTACACAGCTGCTCCTCTTAGCAAGTGACTCTGCCTTCTGCAGCTGTGTCAAATTCATTGCCCACCTTTTCTGTGGTGGGGAGTGGTCCAAGCAGCTGCCACAGCAACAATCTGCCGTCCATGGGCTTCAGAACCCTTTGTGGGCTCTGGGGACAGTTTTTCTGCAGACACTGGTGCCAGACTCTCCTGCCCCTCCAACCCTTTAGTGTTTGCCTCCCCTGACCCGACCCTCCCCCAAAAAGCCCCTGAGTGGAGCCGTGTTACTGGAGAGATTTGGGACGGTCTGGATCTCTGATTAGCTCATTCACACAAATGATTCTGGTGCAGTTGATTTGGAGCAGGCTCATACTCTAGGGGTGCTGCTGGGTCCATCTCTGGACTCGGGTTATCTCATTGGCTAAGACTGTCTTGTATCTGTTTTGGTTGGTAAGATAGCTAGGTCAGTTTTTGGGCCAGGAGAGCCTGACCACTGTAACCCATTTGCTTGTTACCTCCGGGTTGGACAGTTTCTATTTTTAAAAAATAATAATTCATTTTTCATTTTCGTTCATTACATACATCTCAAATGCTTAACGTTTACTATATATTCTTCCCTCCCTCCTCTCCAAGACTTCCCCCAATTGTGTTTCTGGTTTGTTTCTATTTTCACCCGGTTTACAATCTCTCAGCAGAAAAAGTTATTAATGACATAACATGAAACCTTAAAAGCATAAAAATAAAATTAAATACATCATCTTATTTCACTATCTTTCAAACATTTTCTGATGCTAATAATGTGGATGTTTATTTAAATCCTGCCATCAAGTCTATTGCCTTTCTTTGTTTCTGCAAATGTAATATGAATGGTTCCCAATCTTTTAGTCTTTGTCATTTTTTTCCAGTTCTGCATAGTTCAACTACTTCTCTTGCCATTGTTCTTTAGTTCAGGTTGGGCAGTTTCATTGCGAGATGTAAACTGATTCAAACTGGATTTAAAGGAGGATCAAATTGGTTTATAAGGTTTCCCAAAGGGAGGTGATGAGTTGGTATCCTACAGGTACCATCTCATCAGAGGGCATATCTCTTTGGCATAAACCTTTCTTTTAACTTCATGATTAGTAATCTTATCTGCCTGAGCACTGAGATCTCTTTATCTGTCTCTTTAAAATTTCCCTGTCTTCTTGTGCCCAGATTTCTCGTGTCTGGAATGCTGCCCTTTGGTTAACCTTCTGAAGGACCTTCATTTAGACACAAAGAATTCTAGAGTTGGAAGGGACCTTCATGATCATCCAGTCCAACTCGCTGCAGTACAGGAATATGCAGCTGTCCTATAACAGGGATCGAACCTGCAACCTTGCTATTATCAGCAGTACGCTCTAACCAAGCGAGCTATCTAGGATGGCATTTTGATGGCAAATAGAACAGAGCAGGAGGTGTGCTTGGTGAGTAGACTTTCAAGGTGCTTCCTAGAGATGTGCAGACCATGAAAAAAAAAAAAGACAATGTCATCACCCCAATTTTGCTTCTTCCCACCAGGCCTTCCCTGGCTAAACACACAGCTGCCAGTACCATGGATATATACCAAATGCATGGTGATGCTTCTGCCTAAAGAGGAGTCTCTCTCCAGCAGTTGAGGTGAGAACCAGATGAGAACTGGTACAGTCCAGCCGTTAAATTGGATTTTATAGGAGGCTCAAACTGATGTACATGAGGGATTGCTGTTGCAGATCATGCTTGTTTTAACGTCCCCTTCCAGTTTGTCCTGTTTTTTCTCTGCTCGTTGGGGTAACCAGAGCTTTTTCGACCTAACCAAATTCTCTTCTTCCTGGCTCAACCCATGAAGCTCTTTGCAGCTGTGTCAAATTCATTGCCCGCCTCTCCTGTGGCAGGGAGTGGTCCAAGCAGCTGCCACAGCAACAATCTGCCGTCCATGGGCTTCAGAACCCTTTGTGGGCTCTGGGGACAGTTTTTCTGCAGACACTGGTGCCAGACTTTCCTGCCTCTCCGAATCTGAGGGCATGCACCCACCCACCCCCAGCTATAAATAACAATGTATTTAGGTATTTATATGTCACCCATCTGATTGGGTTGCCACAGCCACTCTGGGCAAATTCCAACAAATTAAAACATGTTTACTGATTCCACACTTTGAAATGTCATTGAGCGTTTGGCCTTTAAACACTGCAGATTTCGATTAGGAATTCCCCAAGGGACTGTTTTACTTTGCCTATCCCAGTCTTTTGAAACGGATGCGGAATGTACAGCATTAACATTTCTTTCTTTTTGTAATAGGTTCAGAAGATTTCATGTTTAGATTTGGAATTCCCAGTATTTCAAAGCTTCATGAAAGCACAGAACTGTTGAGTGAGTGAGTGATGCACGGCCTCTTATGAATATATCCTGCTGGCAAATAATCGTTTTCTTGTCAGACTACCTGCAAGGAAGAACAAAGTCAGAACGCATCTGGCAGCTTTAATTGGATTTTGGCAGTCAGACTGGGGAGTGTGGCTTGTTCATATTTCCTCAACACCATCTCATTACAGTGGTACCTCTGGTTATGAACAGCCCTGGTTACAAATTTTCAGGTTACGAACACTTTTAACCCAGAACTGAGTGTTCCTGCTTGTGAATTTATTTCGGTGTGCGAAGAAGGCCTCGGTAGGCCCAGCCGTGGCCCGGAGCTAGCCCCTGGCACCTATCGAGGCCTCCGCTACTGGGTTCTGGTCACGGGAGGTGTCAGGAGGCCTTGCCGCGGCCCAGAGCTAGGCCTCTGCTACCAGGCTCAGGCTGCAGGAGGCCCAGCAGGTTGCACCCCAGCCCCAAACATTAGGTAAGGAACACTACCTAAGAGCGAAGTCCAGCGGTGAATCTAGTGAGCCTGGGCCAGAAAACATCAGCCCTTTACTGGCCCTTGCCCCGCCCCCCCAAGCTGGTAGCAAGGTGGGTGGCACCTGGCCAGGTAAGCCCACCCACCCTGTGGGAGGGGGGAGTTGAAAATTTTGGGATTCTGCAAGGGATTTGGGGATTTGTTTGTGTGAGTTTGCCTTGTGCCTTTGTCTCTGCCTTGCTCCTTCCTTTTGGGGGACTCTGCCTTCTTCCATTGTTTTGGGGATTGTGTGGAACCCAGTTCAGCTGATTCTTACTGATTGACTGTGGGACTGCAGACATGGATAAAAGCAGCAAAGGCAAGAGAACCGTGATAACGGTTGAGGTTAAGAAGCAAATCATTTCCAAGCATGAAAGTGGGGTCCGTGTAAGTGATCTGGCAATGCAGTTTGGCATGGCCAAATCTACAATTTGTAGCATGTTAAAAAACAAGGATGCCATTAAGGGGGCCAGCGTTGCGAAGGGTGTTAAAACACTCAAGCAACGAACACAGACAATGGAAGAAATGGAAAAATTGCTTTTAATATGGATAACTGAAAAGCAGTTGGCGGGCGACCGCATTACTGAGAGCATAATTTGCGAAAAAGCTTTACTTTTGCACGCCCAACTCGTCGCAAACACTCCTGGCGCAAGCGCTGAGATTGAGAGCTTCAAAGCGAGCAGAGGGTGGTTCGAAAAATTTAAGAAGAGAAGTGGGATCCACGGTAAACATGCTGAAGCTGCCAGCGCCAACAAACTAGGTGCTGACCAATTTGTTTTGGAATTTAAAGATTACGTTGTGTCGCTGGGCTTCGTTCCCCAGCAAGTTTTCAACTGTCATGAGACAGGCCTCTTTTGGAAGAGAATGCCAAGGAATACATACATCACAAAGGACGAGAAAGCGTTGCCAGGACACAAGCCCATGAAAGACAGGCTGACCCTTTTATTATGTGCAAATGCAAGTGGAGATTTCAAGTCGAAGCCTTTGCTAGTCTACCATTCTGAGAACCCCAGGATATTTAAGAAGAACAATGTCATAAAAAGCAAATTGCACGTGATGTGGAGGGCAAACAGCAAAGCTCGGGTAACCAGGCAATTTTTTATTGAGTGGGTTCATGAAGTGTTCGGGCCGAGTGTGAAAAAATACCTCCAGGACAAAAATCTTCCAATGAAGTGCCTGCTTCTTATGGATGATGCTCTAAGTGACCCTCCAGGCTTGCAGGACGAGTTGATGGAAGAGTTTGCATTCATCAGTGTAAAGTTTTTGCCCCCCAACACAGCTTCTCTCATCCAGCCCATGGACCAGCAGGTCATATCAAATTTTAAGAAGCTTTACACCAAAGCAGTCTTCCAAAGGTGCTTTGAGGTGACCTCGGACACAGAGCTAACCCTAAAAGAGTTCTGGAAGAATCATTTTAATATCCTCCATTGCTTACATATGATAGACAAAGCATGGAGGGATGTGTCTCAGAAAACTCTGCAGGCAGCATGGAAGAAATTGTGGCCAGATGTTGTCCCAGAACATGCAACGGAGGCTGTTGAAGAAGATGTGCCTCTTGTGGAGGATATTGTGTTTCTGGGAAATTCCATGGGCTTGGAGATGAGTGGTGCTGATGTGGAGGAATTGGTGGAGGAGCACGGCGCTGAGCTCACTGCCGAAGAACTTCAAAACATTCTGCTGGAGCAGCAAAAGGCGGCAGCTGAGGAAATGTCTTCGGAGGAGGAGGAGAGCAGAGAAAGTGTACCTACAGCAAAAATCAAAGAAATGTTTGCAAAATGGGCTGAAATGCAAGCTTTTGTTGAAAAATACCACCCTGACAAAGCTGCTGTGAGTCATGCCACAAACACTTTCAATGATTTCGCTATGTCTCACTTTAGACAAATCTTAAAACTTCGGCAAAAGTCTCAAGTGAAACTGTTTTGGTAAGGAAGAGATCCAGTGAGTCTGAACCAGGTAGCAGTGGTGTAGGTGGCAGTGGTGTTTTAAAAAAAAGAAAAGAGGAATGTCAGGAGAGGAATCGCCGATTGTGAATCTAGAAGAGGACCCAAACCCCCCTATCCAAGCAATGACTATCATGAGTGTAGGTAAGAAAAAAACCACGTTTTCATTTTTAAAAAATCATCAGTACTGTTTTATTGATTTTACAGTACAGTACGTTTTTATTGCTTTCATTTGATGGATCAATGGTCTCATTAGATCAGGGGTCAGCAAAGTTTTTGTGGCTTGGGCCAGTTCACGGTCCCGCAGAAGCCACGGTGGGCTGGAGTTCACGCACGCATGCACAAACACTATTTCCAGTGTTCCTTCTGGCACGGAGGAGGCGTGCGCAGCTTCCCATTGGCTGCAGGAGCTTCCTGCAGCCAATGGGAAGCCGGCCAGCATCGCGGAAGGCGGTCCCCGCTCTGCTCTGTGCTGGTTTAGCACAGTGCACAGGAGTCAACCAAGTGGGCGGCGGGGGTCCATGGGCCGGTTAAATGACCCCCGCAGGTTGCCGACCCCTGCATTAGATAGTAAAACTCATGTTACCTTTCTGTTTTACGGGTTGTTTTTCACTGTCTGGAACGGATCTATCCATTTTCCGTTACTTTCTGTGGGAAAGCACGCCTCGGGTTAAAAACACTTCTGGTTAGGAACGGACTTCCAGAATGAATTAAGTTCGTAACCCGAGGTACCACTGTATTTCAAACAGATATAGATATAACACGGAGAGAGGCAGATCAATAAGCGCACACACATTTGAGGCTTACATTTGTTAATGCATTAAAGTTGATAATTTAAAAATAAAAATTATTTCAGACGTTTTGCTGGGTTTTCGTATTTTATTGTTTATTAGCGAGGGGTTCGTCAGAGTAGGCAGTGCGCTGCTTGATCCACCGTTCGGCTGCGGTTGCAGACCTTTCCGAACACCTGAAAGAAGAGTTCCGTCCACAGAGGGGGCTTTGTGTCAGAGGTGTTTTTGCCACTGCTCCCTTCTCCCTGCAGTCTTGTGAAAATCTGCTTTGGGGGGTTGGAGCAGCTCAGGGCAGTGCAAGAGGGGAAAGCATCGCTTTCTGTAAGTGGAAGCGTCTGCTGAATCATGGTGCCTTCAGGCAACAAAAGGAGCGCCCCTTCCACCAATGGAAGCTACGTTGGGACAAAAGTAATAGAAACATTTGGATCACTTGTGAAGTTCATTGGCTGATAATGTTAGAGGCAGTTTTTCTTCTGGTGGCAGACGACAGGACCACGAGACCAGTGTAAAAATTCAAACAAAGGTTTTATTACAGCTATACAAAAACAACAAACACAAAGCATGTGGGTGTTTTCTCTCTGCAGGCAAAATTCAAACTGCAACTTCTTTTCTTTTATACACATCATCAGCTGTGTTTAATCAGCCTAGAAAACCACACCCAGAACTCACAGAAAAGATTCTTAAACTTACAATCATCTTTTCTGTTTCTTTGCAGAATGACTCCTAACAGATAACTGCTGTATATGGCACACCTTACAGAATAACTTATTGAGGTATGCATAAGAATAAAAAATGTTCCTAACAGCAAAACAGGAACCTGACTCAAAAGGCAAATTGTGTCTTTGGAACAGCAGCTGCCCAAGTGTTCCTGCAGACAGTGGCTAGACTTTGCCAGTCTCTTCAGTATGGTGAATCGACTGCAGCACTGAAGTGGCGTCAGGGCACAAAGCTGGGCAGTGTGTATGGAGCTCCTGGGCTGCCCGGGCAGGAAAAAAACCCCTCTCTCTGTCTCGGTGACGTTCAAATTTGCTCCAAGATTTTATGAGCAGGGCAAGGCATGAACTTCTTTGCAAAATACTTGCCAAGTGCATCAGCATTGAAGGTGCAGTGCAGTCCATACAAACCAAGGCTAAGCACAGTGAACCGGTCTAGGTTCAAAATGTGATCCAGAGGCAAATTCTGCAAGAGTCCCACGGTCAATATTGCAGGGAGTTCAGGGAAGGGTGCTAGACTCAGGAGCCAGAAATCTTTGTTTCCAACATCTGGAAGGCTCAAGAAGTAGATCTATCTGCTTCCTAGATCACAGCTGCTGGTAATAAAGGAGTTTTGGGGCTTCCTTAAGCGGAGACCCCATTCACAAAAGTCACACATTGACTATGGGTCCATAGATGCATGTCATGTCTTGCTTCAGCCTGGACCCAGACCATTTGGCACCAGTGTTTCTGAAGATGGGTTGCTCCACAGCTGGCGGGTTTCTTCAGCAGGTCTCTCTAGGCCAGCCCCTTAAGAAGATCCTTGACCTTGGCTCCAAAGGATCATGCCAACAACTTAAGGGCCTAGACCTATGGAGTGTTTGATTCATCCTCCAAGGGGTCTGTTGGTTCTCAGCCTTGTGGGGCAATCTCAAGCTAACCAGAAAAGGATGCTGTAGTATCACCTAACACTGTGCTCTGTGGCTGGCTATCAGATTCTTTTCAACAGCACTTTCCATAGTTATTTGAGCAATAGTCAACATTGTTATGTGTTTGTGGGTGCTAGACATCCTAAATCCTAAATTCTTGGGTCTAGTAAGTGTTAGAATTTAATCAATCCAAACCTTAAAATATAAGCCAGGCCACTCTCCTGACCAGGAAATCACATTAGGAGGACAAAAGGAATATGATGAGCCATTAATAATGCCACAGGGCCCTCAGCTCAGAGTGAGTTAGAAGAACCAAAGCCAGGGTTTAGAGTTGGCTGGCATGTGACCTGGAGGGAAAAGGTTGCAGTCTGGTAGAGGCGGCTAGCTGGAAAGGCTAAGAGATCTGGCTGATGCTTGTCTGAATTAGCTTGGCATGTTAATGCTGTGAGGCTCAAGTCATATATATGTGTAAGTAAACCCTCTATAATAAAGGCACCGTAGTCTCTACTGTGCCTCATTTCCAAAATAAAACACTGGAATCTTGCAGTGCTCTGAAAGGGGAGTGGCATGCAACAATATTCTGTCAAGTTAAGTTGAAAAGCTGCATATTCACATCCTATTTTGTCTTTCCTGTAACCATTTTTATTTTTTTTGCCTTGCCTTGCAGATCCCTCTTCCCCAAGTTTCATTTATGTATAATGTGCTGTTGAGCTCCCTATAACATCACTCTTACAAATTTTCACAAATATAAATGCATTCAATAGCTTCCCACTAACATAGCTCTCTTAAAGTTTGCAAACAGATTTCAGCAGCTTCTTGTGTGTTGGTTACAACCTTCTCATCCACTACAGCAAATAAAGGACTGGTGTTTTCATTCACTCCCATAATGTTGTGAGGGATTCATCTTGCCATGCTGTTTTCTCAGGAAAAGACATAGGAGCAAGAAAGCAGCTATGACCTTATTTAGGATAAATCCAATCCAGAAAGCAGAACTGGAGAATAGATGTCCTTCGCCTGTTAAGAAAGAATGGCAGATCAGCTCTTGTTTGTTATTCACAATTATAGGTTTCTTTTCCAGGAAACATTTTAAACCCTCCCCCTCCCAGCACCAACAACTGGGATGCAAAAACTGAAATAAAATATTATTCATTGGAACCCTACAAAAAGTACTTTGGAGAAAGGAGCCCCCTTTTTTCTGGGATTGTGGGGCTTTCAATAGAGTAATGATTAATTGCACGTTTATTCAAAATCCAGTGAAAACTACGGTAGTCTTGAGACTGACCCAGAAACTCCAGCGGGTGCAGAATGCTGCAGCGAGACTCCTTACAGGGTCCTCGCTGCGAGATCACATTCACCCGGTGCTATACCAGCTGCACTGGCTCCCGGTGGAGTACAGGATCAGGTTTAAGGTGCTGGTTTTAACCTTCAAAGCCCTATACGGCCTAGGACCCTCGTACCTACGGGACCGCCTCTCCTGGTATGCCCCACAGAGCAACTTACGGTCTTCAAACAAAAACATCTTGAAGGACCCAGGCCACAGAGAGGCTAGGCTGGCGTCAACTAGAGCCAGGGCTTTTTCGGCTGTGGCAAGAGACCAGGGCCCTGCGGGACTTGACATCTTTCCGCAGGGCCTGCAAGACAGAGCTGTTCCACCAGGCCTTTGGTCAGGGCGCAGCCTGACTCCCTCCTTTGGCAATCTTTACAAAACTTTAGTTTATGGTTGCCATCGATTTTGATTTTAATTAATTTTTATAATGTTGCACTATTTTAGTGTTGTTAGCCGCCCTGAGCCCGGCTTCAGCTGGGGAGGGCGGGATATAAATAAATATTATTATTATTATTATTATTATTATTATTATTATTATTATTATTATTAGTTTAATTCACAAAAGTGAACTTGATCCAGCAATAGCAGGCCAAGAATCATTTCTAGCACCCTCTGCCACCCCCTTGCCTCCTAGATCTGTGGTGGTGAACCTATGGCACATGTGGCAGAGAGGGCACTCAGAGCTCTCTCTGTGGGTACACTCACTGTCGCCCAAGCAGGGCCGTAGCTTCCGTGGTGGGTGTGGGGAGGAGAGGGGGGCTCGCGTGCAAGCAGGAGTAGAGGCAGGGATCTCTCAGAAGTGGAGTGGAGGCTTCGCGCTGAGATCCCCGCCTCCACCCTTGCTTGCACGCAAGTAGGAGCGGGATGGGGCAGCTCAGCTGAGGGGTGCCTGGCTGCCTTCAGGTGGTGCAGGGGCTCTCAGGTGCAGCTTCCGGGCTGCCTCCACCTTCCACAAGCCCAGCAACTATTCAGCCTGGCTGCCTTCACGGGGTTGCAGGGGATCTGATGCAGAGGTGGGGGCTCCTTTAAGCTTCTCCCTTGAGGGGAGTGCAGCCGCGAACCCCTCAAAGTGTGATGGAGCCTGCACCTCCCCAGCTGAGCAGCCTTGATCCATCTCCTCTTCCCGTGCAAGCAGCGACTCTGCCAAGCAGAGCAGCACGATTCCACTCCTACTTGCCGGCCCAGCCTTCCCCCACTCAGGGTGGGACTGCCAGAGCTAATCTTTATCGCTGAAAAGAGGCATTGATATTCCACTCCAAATCTATAATTCATTATACGAATTCTTACAAGTACAGTCCACCTATACCAAACCAAAAACATTGTGTTTTCTTGGTATTGAATGGAAGCTATTTATCTGCCCTCTTTTCCTCCTCTGTTCTTTGTTCAATCACTCCATTTCCCACTCTTTGAATCTTCCTTTCAAAACAACCATGCCTGTTTTGAAAAAAACTTCACAGATTTAGGAACTGGAGCGCAATCATTTGATCTCTCTGCTGTTCCTCCATAATCCAAGCACTTCTCATTTGCACAGCCCTGGTTCTTTCCCTGACTATTACCATTCTTGATTAATAACAGTAAAATGCTCAAATTTTAGTTTATGTGACCGCTGCCAATACTGACTTCCCAGTGATAATGAAAACAGCTACATTGTAATGGAACGTCTATCCTATTTTCATTCTCTTCATTATATACCGTGGTTCGCTTTAAAGCAGCAAAGCGGGCAGGAACCACCCACTTTGCTGTTTTAAATAGTTTAGTACAACATTTGAGTCAGAAAATCTTTTTCTTGTTCTCCTGCTCTAAAAACTACGTGCGTCTTATGGAGCGAAAAATATGGTGAATTGCCATGTTGGCACTTTGCGATAAATAAGTGGTCTTTGGGTAGCAGTTTGGGCACTCGGTCTCTAGAAGCTTTGCCATCACTGCCCTAGATAATCCCACTGCCCTCCAAGGGATGGTCCTGACCAATTGGGAAGCGTGACAGTCGTTAATTCGCTTTAAATGTGCACACCTAAAGATATGGCCTGTGCTCATATCCTTCCTGCAAAATCATGATGGTCTGGTGGCCCCCAATCAGGTCCACCCTGGTATGGCTGGCTGGTGGCAGGGAGAGCTGATACATTTATTTGAACCCCAAATGCAAGCAAAGCCAAAGGGGGAAAGAGGAGGAAAAGTCTGCAATGTTGCAGCTATAGGACAATAAGGTAAGAAAAGCAGTATGTGGGCAGACAAGGGCATCTTCTGCGTGGAGGCAAACTGCTGGTTCTAGCAGGCAAAAGAGGCCGCGGCTGTGTTGATATTCAGTTTGGAAAGTTGGCATGAAGTGTTAGGAACTGGCAGGCTTTCTTATCTGATTTCTCCCCTGATGGTCCTCTATGGAAAGATTCTACTTACATGTGTTATTCTTAATTGCCATGTTAGCGCAGGGGTCGCCAGCGTGATCTCTGTGGGAGCCAGTGTGCTCACCAGTAGAATCATAGAATTGCAGAGTTGGAAGGGAGCCCCAAGGTCAATCTAGTCCAGCCCCCTGCAATGCAGGAATCTCAGCTAAAGCATCCCTGACAGATGGCCACCCAACCTCTGCTTAGAAACCTCCAAGGAAGGAGAGTCCACCACCTCCCGAGGGAGACTTTTCCACTTTCAAACAGCTCTTACTGTCGGAAAGTTCTTCCTGATTTCAGTCAGAATCATCTTTCTTGTAACTTGAAGCCATTGGTTTGAGTCCTACTCTTCGGAGCAAGAGAGAACAAGCTTGCTCCATCTTTCATGTGACAGCCTTTGAGATCTTTGAAGATGGCTATCGCATCTCCTCTTGGACTCCTCTTTCCCAGGCTAAACATTCCCAGCTCCCTCAACCGTTCCAAATAAGGCTTGTTTTCCAGACCCTTGGTCATCTTGGTTGCCCTCCTCTGCATACCTTCCAGCTTGTCAACATCTTTAAATTGTGGTGCCCAGAATTGGACACAGTACAGTGGAACCTCGGGTTACGTTCTGTCCTCCTTACAAACACTTCGGGTAACGAGCTCCGCTAACCCGGAAGCAGGTCTCCTGGTAGCGAACTTTGCCCTGGGATGTGAGCAGAAGTTGCGCACCGGCAGCGCGACAGCAGCAGGAGGCCCCATTAGCGAAACCGCGCCTCAGGTTAAGAACGGTTTGGGGTTAAGAACAGACCTCCAGAATGAAGTTCATAATCGGATGTACCACTGTATTCCAGGTGTGGTCTGATCAAGGCTGAATAGAGTGGTACTACAACTTTCCTGATATGCAGATGACAAAACCTTGATGGCAAAAAGTGAGGAGGAATTAAAGAACCTTTTAATGAGGGTGAAAGAGGAGAGCGCAAAATATGGTCTGAAGCTCAACATCAAAAAAACGAAGACCATGGCCACTGGGCCCATCACCTCCTGGCAAATAGAAGGGGAAGAAATGGAGGCAGTGAGAGATTTTACTTTCTTGGGCTCCATGATCACTGCAGATGGTGACAGCAGCCATGAAATTAAAAGATGTCTGCTTCTTGGGAGAAAAGTAATGACAAACCTAGACAGCATCTTCAAAAGCAGAGACATCACCTTGCCAACAAAGGTCCACATAGTTAAAGCTATGGTTTTCCCAGTAGTGATGTATGGAAGTGAGAGCTGGACCATGAAGAAGGCTGATCGCCAAAGAATTGATGCTTTTGAATTCTGGTGCTGGAGGAGACTCTTGAGAGTCCCATGGACTGCAAGAAGATCAAACCTATCCATTCTGAAGGAAATCAGCCCTGAGTGCTCACTGGAAGGACAGATCGTGAAGCTGAGGCTCCAATACTTTGGCCACCTCATGAGAAGAGAAGACTCCCTGGAAAAGACCCTGATGTTAGGAAAGATGGAGGGCACAAGGAGAAGGGGACGACAGATGACGGGATGGCTCGACAGTGTTCTTGAAGCTACCAGCATGAGTATGACCAAACTGCGGGAGGCAGCGGAAGACGGAAGTGCCTGGCGTGCTATGGTCCATGGGGTCACGAAGAGTCAGACAAGACTAAACAACAACAACAACTTTCCTTGGTCTGGACACTATACTTCTATTGATGCAGCCCAGAACAGCAGCAACTCTCATGGTGTCTGCAAAAGTCCTCAGTAAATATACACAATGCACGAAAGATGGTTTGCTGAAACCTTTCCATCTTCCTCGCCTTCAGATATAAGATGGTAGAAGGCCTGAAGTGTTGGCCATGTGCTTGCAGAGACTTGGTGTGCTGCTGCAGGTGGTTGCCGTTTGCCAATGGGACTGCACAGAGCTCTCCGTCAACACTCCGCAGAAATTGGAATTGTGCCAAAAAAGTTGCCTATGGAGACGGTTGCCTTGGTGACATGTTACTTTGCTGGAAAGTGTTGGTGTTGGCAACAGAAGACACTTTCCATGAACCCGTGCGTTCATCATGAATCACTTGCATTGGGCAACCTTCAGGGAGTTTCCACAGAGAAGGAGCCACCACACACTTTGCTTTCAGAAGGTCACAAGTTCGGCAGTGGTGACTAGTGCCCTTTTGGATTGGTGGCGTGGAAGGCAGGGGCACCAGGGCCAATGATGGACAGAGCCAACTCATTCTAGTTTTGTCCTAATTCTCTTCCCTGCTGAGTTCAACGAACGGGCAATGCTGAGCGTAAGAAGGAGGAAGCTGAGAGACAAGGCCAAACCCTGCATTGGTTGTAAGGAAGAAAGTAGACAGATGGTGGCCGGCTGAGCTCAGATTCAGGGGTGGTCTGAAAGTGCCGCATTCTTCCCAATAGACCAGCCTCCACTGGCTCAGTTCAAGCATAAGAGCATCTCTAGTAGCCAGCTTAAAGCCAAAACCTGGAAAGTCCCCACAAGTCAGATGTCACAGGCCAGTCAGTAATCACCCAGTTCAAAGTTGGAGTTGACTTTTTACCAGCTAAAACAGGACCTCCATAGACCTGGCTGAGTGTCAGAGCAGTGTATTCCAAGTGGCCTTTCTCCTTTAAAATTAGTTGCTGAAAGTCTCTGCTTCCCTACAGTTGTCTAAGTTCTCTCCAGGGCTTTTTCTAAGCAATCAGAGACTGCGCCAGCATGCAGAGAACCACCCTTTTCATGCCTCTTCTGGTTCTGGGGAACAAGTGAGAAGGGGAGCTTGTCACAGCAGAAGGAAGAGACACTCTTGCTTCTTCAACAGCCGGACTCATCTCTGTCTCTTGGCTTCAATTCCCTTCTGCTTCAGCTTCTGCCTCTGATTCTGGCATCCTCTCCACCACAGACACCTGGCTTGAGAGCAGTACATGTGAAAAGGATCTAGGAGTCTTGGTTGACCACAAACTTGACATGAGCCAACAGTGTAACGCGGCAGCTAAAAAAGCCAATGCAATTCTGGGCTGCATCAATAGGAGTATAGCATCTACATCAAGGGAAGTAATAGTGCCACTGTATTCTGCTCTGGTCAGACCTCACCTGGAGTACTGTGTCCAGTTCTGGGCACCACAGTTCAAGAAGGACACTGACAAACTGGAACGTGTCCAGAGGAGGGCAACCAAAATGGTCAAAGGCCTGGAAACAATGCCTTATGAGGAACGGCTAAGGGAGCTGGGCATGTTTAGCCTGGAGAAGAGGAGGTTAAGGGGTGATATGATAGCCATGTTCAAATATATAAAAGGATGTCACATAGAGGAGGGAGAAAGGTTGTTTTCTGCTGCTCCAGAGAGCGGACACGGAGCAATGGATCCAAACTACAAGAAAGAAGATTCCACCTAAACATTAGGAAGAACTTCCTGACAGTAAGAGCTGTTTGACAGTGGAATTTGCTGCCAAGGAGTGTGGTGGAGTCTCCTTCTTTGGAGGTCTTTAAGCAGAGGCTTGACAACCATATGTCAGGAGTGCTCTGATGATGTTTCCTGCTTGGCAGGGGGTTGGACTCAATGGCCCTTGTGGTCTCTTCCAACTCTATGATTCTATGACTCTCCCAGCTCACTAAGCCCTGTTACCTCTTCAGCTTCTGACACTTCCCCTTCTCTGTCTTCTCCCTTTGACATTGTCCCACCACCAATCCTTGGACTCTGAGTCTTCTTCCCTTGTTGGTTCCCCAGCTGGTTCCTCCCACCATTCCTCTGTGCCCAACCAGTCCATGACATCAGAAAGACAAAGTAGCTTCGTTCCAAAGCAATCTGCAATTTGGGGGAAGGCCCCAAGCCACACTGGAAGAGTACATGTGTTGCATTAAGATGGTCCCAGGTTGTATATATGGAGTTTTAAATGGTTTTAATTTTGGTTCCTCTGTTTTGTTTTTGTTGGGTTGGGGTTGGTTAAATGTAGATTGGGGTTGGTGGTTATTTTAATTTGGGTATAACTGTAAACATTATTATTATTATTATTAGCCCCAAGATGTGGTGAGGACCACTGGCTTAGATGATTTTAAAAGGGGAGAAGACAAATTGAGGGAAGTGGAGATAGCTACGTGGGTCCTCCATGTTTAGGGAAGCTTTTAATGTTTGGTGTATTACGGTATTGTAATATTTTGTTGAAAGCTGCCCAGAGTGGCTGGGGAAGCCCAGCCAGATGGGCGGGTTATAAATAATAAATTATGATGATGATGATGATGATGTCAAGAGGAAGCACGCCACAGAATACCAGCAGCTAGGAAGCATCAACAGGAGAGGACTATTAGCCACCTTTCTCTGCCAGTATGTGTCTCAAAAGCATCTGTTCTGCACTGTGGGGGAAAGGGAATGGGACTAAATCAGCCTTTGCCAACGTGGTGCCCTCCAGATGTTTTGGACTACAACTCCCATCAGCCCTGGCCAGCACAGTTTGGCTGCCTGCGGCTGGTGGGAGTTGCACTCCAGAGCACCTTCTTTGAAGGTGAAGGATGGAGGAGATGAACATTTGATACAATGCAGCAGGGCTCTTCTTACTAATGTCTTCGTTACTGGCGGTCCAGTAGCAGGACTGGGAAGCCATGGAGATCTTCAGCGTCACTAGGCAATGCTGAGCAAGCTATTGGTTTGATTCAGTAGAAAGCAGCCTTCACATATATCCAGATACTTCTGGGGGAAATGGGGTTCAGGCTTACCTGTGCTGCTTAAGACTTTTAGCACCGCAGATTTGCTAATGGGGGGCTGGAAGTTGTGCACAACCCGGCAAGTGAACACAGAAGAGCTGTTCCGCTTAGTTGCTGTCACTTCCAGGGAACTCCGAAGGGAGAAGGTCCCATCCTGATTCAGGATTTCGAAAACTGGCGCCTCCAGCGGGGTTTCCTCCCGGTCCTTCAGCCAGTTAAAAATGATGTATCTGGGATAAAAGCCTTCCACGTAGCAGGTGACTGTCACAGTGTCATTCACCTGGACAGGTGAGGGAGGGTCCATTTTCAGCCACACTTTGGGCGGAACTGAGCAGACAAAGCCAATTGTTAAAATGTGGACTTTTTGTGCTCTGAGCTTTTAAGGAAAGATCAATATTAATTAATTAATTCATAGGACTTATATCCTACTCTTCAGCCAGAAAGACTCCCAAAGCGATGTTCATATAATTTTTTTAAAAAATGCAGTAACTAGCAATGACTTCAATCTGAAATGTTACAACACAAATGGAAAAAGGGAAGGGAAGAAGAAATCAACCAAAGTTGCGTCACCAGGGTCTCGTTTTGACTGACAGGGTGCTGACGGGGATGGAAACAGACAGCTTATAGTCGTAAAAATAAGCCTTGCTGGTCCCTTGAGAAATAGCCTGGTGACCCCAACTTCCCTGAGGTATCCTCCTGGGGGAGAATTGCAGAATCGGTCCCTTCTAAACTACAATTCTATGATTTTATGTATTCGCTGTGGGTTAAACCACAGAGCCTAGGACTTGCTGTTCAGAAGGTCGGCGGTTCGAATCCCCACGATGGGGTGAGCTCCCATTGCTTGGTTCCTAGAATCATAGAATCATAGAATCATAGAGTTGGAAGAGACCACAAGGGCCATCGAGTCCTGCTCCTGCCAACCTAGCAGTTCGAAAGCACGTCAAAGTGCAAGTAGATAAATAGGTACCGCTCTGGCGGGAAGGTAAACGGCATTTCCGTGTGCTGCTCTGGTTTGCCAGAAGCGGCTTAGTCATGCTGGCCACATGACCCGGAAGCTGTACGCTGGCTCCCTCGGCCAGTAAAGCGAGATGAGCGCTGCAACCCCAGAGTCGGTCACGACTGGACCTAATGGTCAGGGGTCCCTTTACCTTTATATGTGTAAATAAAGACCCAACAGTCCCTGCTGATCTTCATTCGAAGGAAATGAAATTCTGGAAAAACACAGGAAGGCAGCCCTGGAGGCTCTCACTGCTTGGAGATAATGTTCTTCCCCACCCATGTTAAGAACAATTTGTCAGTCACTTACCAACCACAGAAACCACACTGCCTTTCCCCTTCCGCTTCATTCCAAAGATTTCCTTCATACAATAATAGGTCCCAGCATCCTGGAGTTCTATGTTGGGGATGAGGATGGAGAAGTCTGTTTGCGAGTCAGGATGGAGTCTTCTCACCCGGGAATCGGTTCCTGTGTCAAGAGCTTGGGACTCCTTGTACCATTTCACGGTAGTGCGGACAATTGCCCGGGTCAGTTGGCAGTGCAGGGTGATGCTCTCTCCAGGGGATGCAGATAGAAATTTCGGTTCCTGCTTGACCTTTACAAGGGTGGCACCTGAAAGAACATCATAGAGTTCTGGTTCCTCTCCAGATTCTGCTTCTACCACCCCTGTTTGATTGAAAACATTTTAATCACTCTGGAGCCAGCCTTTGACCTCCAGTTCAAAACCATGCAAGAACAACCCCAACCCCACTCTTTTTGGGAGAAGAAAAGGACCACTGGTATGAAGTTTACGGCATGCAATGCCTTAAAAGAGAATTTAATGAAAATGATTTATAGGTGGTACATAACACCAGTCAAGCTTGCAAAAATTTATCATTTGCCCGATAACAAATGTTGGAAATGTAATGAAACTGAAGGTACATTCTTTCACCTTTGGTGGACATGCCCAAAGATTAAGGCATTATGGGATATGATCTATAATGAAATTAAAAAGGTATTTAAATATACCTTCCTGAAGAAACCAGAGGCCTTTCTCCTGGGCATGGTCGGCCAATTGGTGATGAAGAAGGATAGAACTTTCTTTATGTATGCTACAACAGCAGCAAGAATACTTATCGCAAAGTATTGGAAGACACAAGATTTACCCACCCGGGAAGAATGGCAGATGAAGCTGATGGACTACATGGAACTGGCGGAAATGACTGGCAGAATCCGAGACCAGGGAGAAGAGTTGGTGGAAGAAGATTGGAAAAAATTTAAAGTATATTTACAGAAACATTGCAAAATTAATGAATGTTAGAAAGATGTTGGAATGAAGTTGTATGGTTTTAACAGAAATGTAATAAAGATTTAAGTAAAAGTTGATTGATAATGGGTAAAAATGGAAAAATTAAAGGTTAGACTGTTAAGATAAATTATAGAATAAAAATTGAGAAAGATGGAAAGAATTTGCTGAAATAGTTAACTGAACTAGAATACAAAAAGGGAGGTGTGAGGAGGTCGATGAAACAGGTAAATGAAAGGTAAAGATAAGGAATATTGGATGTGTTTTTGCATGTTTTTTGTTTTTGCATGTTTTTGTTTTTTTGTTTTTATTGTTGTGCTGTATTGTTTTCTTTTTTAATCTGGTTTTTATTTTCTTTTGATGTAATGTATTGTAATTTTTTACTGTTTTCTTTTTTTCTCTTTTTCTGTAATTGTTAAACTTTTAATAAATATCTTTAAAAAAAAGAAAGAAAAGAAAAGGCTGAGGAGTAAACCCTACAAAAATCCAGAGTCGAATCCCTAAGGTGGTTGGATGGCTCCTTGTCCACCTCATTCCAGCAACTCCTGCAGCCAAGCTGGAGCCAAACGCCTTGCTCTGCTTTCCTTTGGACCACATCAGTGAGGCCAAGAGGGTCTTGTCATCTGGGCAGCCTAGGACCTCTATACACACTGCCCAGGCTTGCACCCCGGGGAGGTCACTTGGGTGCTGCTAGTGCAGCAGAAATAACTGTGGGGATACATCCATAGCAATCACCAGAGGACAAATGACCGCTGGGAGGAGCGCAGAGAAGAAACGTCCTGGTGCATCTGCGTCGGCGCAACCGGACGCCTTCATCTGCCCCAGCTGCAACAAAACATGTCTCTCCCCTGTTGGTCTCTATGGGCACAGGAGGTGGTGCAAACTTCCAACAGTTTGGCTTCGCCCTTAAAGGCATACTCCACTGTCTCCCGAGACAGGCAGATGCCAATGGTATTGCTCCCTCACCGGTCACCAGCAACTAATGTATTGAAAGAATTATTTGTTGACGGCCACCAACTTTGCAGGCTTTTAAAGAGGGTTAGACAATTTCTTGCAGGATAAGACGACCAGTGGCTACTAGCCCTGATGTCCTTTCCTCCATTCTTGGAGGCACGTGTCTGAATACCAGTTGCTGGAACCTGCAGGAGGGGAGAGGGTCTTGTGTTCGAATCCTGCTTGCAGGCTCTTTCCCCCTAAGCATCTGGCCGGCTGCTGTGAGAACAGGATGCTGGACTAGATGGGTCACTGGTCTGATCCAGTAGGCTGTTTTATAATAATAATATAATAATAATTTATTATTTATACCCCGCCCATCTGGCTGAGTTTCCCCAGCCACTCTAGGCGGCTCCCAATCGAGTGTTAAAAACAATACAGCATCAGACATTAAAAATTTCCCTAAACAGGGCCGCCTTCAGTTGTCTTTTAAAAGTAAAATAGTTGTTTATTGCCTTGACGTCTGGTGGGAGGGGGTTCCACAGGGCAGGCGCCACTACCTCTGCCTGGTTCCCTGTAACCTCACTTCTCGCAGCAAGGGAACCGCCAGAAGGCCCTCGGAGCTGGACCTCAGTGTCTGGGCTGAACGATGGGGGTGGAGACGCTCCTTCAGGTATACAGAACAGAGGTCGTTTAGGGCTTTAAAGGTCAGCACCAACACTTTGAATTGTGCTCGGAAACGTACTGGGAGCCAATGAAGATCTCTCAGGACCAGTGTTATGTGGTGTCGGCGGCCACTCCCAGTCACCAGTCTAACTGCCGCATTCTGGATTAGTTGTAGTTTCCGGGTCACCTTCAAAGGCAGCCCCACGTAGAGAGCATTGCAGTAGTCCAAGCAGGAGATAACCAGAGCATGCACCACTCTGGGGAGACAGTCTGTGGGCAGGTAGGGTCTCAGTCTGCATACCAGATGGAGCTGATAAACAGCCGCCCTGGAACACAGAATTGACCTTGACCTCCATGGACAGCTGTGTGTCCAAAATGACTCCCAGGCTGCGCACCTGGACCTTCAGGGGCACAGTTACCCCATTCAGGACCAGGGAGTCCCCCATACCCATCCGCCCCTTGTCCCCCCAAAACAGTACTTCTGTCTTGTCAGGATTCAACCTCAATGCACATGTGTTAATGTAGTCAACATGACCAGTAGCCCTTGAGAAATTGCTCCTTCTAGCATCTACCCCTATGGAGGCCCTAATTGCCACCCTCTGAGTCTCAGGTCCTAATCTTCTGGAGACCCGGTGGCAACCCTATCAATAAACTATTGAACCCAACTCTGGAAGGATCAGTAATGGACCACAATGAAGAGACCTGAAAGGTCCTCTTCATCTGGGTTTCTACTGCACGCAAGCAGCGTGAAGCCACAAATCACTTCCCTCCCTAGAGAGCGTGTTTCACTAAGCTCAGAAAGCAGGTCCTAGTCGATTTAACGGCATTTACGAGTTTGTTTGTTCCAGACTCACCAGGGGTTTGCAGGAAGAGGTGGAGCTGTAGGAAGAGACGGATCAGCCACAGCGAAGAGTTGAAAGCAGCCATCAAAGTGGCAGGAAAACCCACATTCCCGTCTGCGTTGTGTCTTGGGAACTCTTGTTTCAGTTGCAGAAGAAAGGCTTTTCTTTTCTTTTGGCTGTGACACTTCCTCCTGCAATTAATAGAAGCCAGTTTCACTTCCCCAAATTTGGAAAGCCTATTTTGCTTTCAGGCTCCCCTGCACAGAATGATATCCACACACCCACATACTAGGGGCTGCAACGCCTGCTTGCCTCACTTGCCAACTCCACTGTTGGACTGTAAACAACAAAAACAACAAACATGAAGTCATTTTACAAAAAAAAAGTCTCAATAATAATTAATTTACCCTGTTGTAAATAAAAAATGTCCTTTTCCCTTATGGGGTATCCAAGAGCCCATATAGAGTCCTTACATAGGTTCCCTATTGGTAGGAGAAAATAACAGAGGCCAACCAGAGAATATTGAGAAGCAAAGCAGCTCGTAAGCCTGATCTTTATTGATCTGTTGCAACAGGGTGCTCCCCTCACACGCAGGAGAGGAGGAGGACCCAGAAAAATAGTGTGCAAGGCCTTATAAAGACTTTTGAAATTGCCACCCTGTAGATCAAGACCACCCCCAGAAACATCATACATACATCACAGAAGGGGTGTAACCTAAGACCATCCCTCAGATACATCACACCTACATCACAGAAAAAGGCGGTCTAAACAGAAATTTGCATGTTGTTTTTCTCTTGTCCTTGTTTATCTCCTGTCTGGCAGGTTACTTGATTGGATTCCCTGGGGCCAGGTCACAGGCTCACACCCTATTCAAACACAGACATACCCTTAAGACAGGATTTGTGAAGGAAAAGACAATGGAGAGGCTTTTCCACTTTGACCTTGCAGAGAAAACATTTGCTCAGTTTAGGAATCAAAATGGCTTCAGGTCGGTCTTCCTGGGCTGATCTATGTACTGTGTACTGTAGCCTTATGAGGCTTTGCCCTCAGGTGGGAAAAATATTGCGCCTGGGAAAGGGAAGTGGGAGTCAACAGACACTCAAGGAATAGTTTCGGAGAAAAGGCTTTTATTTCTACCATCCATGAACTGGTAGAAGGAGCAAGTGTGATAAGTCACAAAAGCATGCACGAAGTTCACAGTCATGTGCACATATATGGTAGGCCTTCGTAAGACTAATAATTATCTAAGTTTTTTCTTATAGTTTTTCGTTTTAGTGATGCACGGGTTTCATGGAATGCATTGGAAAATCAATTAATGCCTGGAAAACTAATTTGGACCAGTCCGATAACACCCCCACCCTTCTGAAGGCTGGGGGGGGGACATGGCTTTCTTCCCACCCCCACCTGTACTTAAAATGGACAGCAGAGGGCTTCTCCGCTGTCCGGGGCGATCTTAAATGCTGGCGGGCGGTATTTTAAAATTGTTCCCGGGACAGCGGAGGACTTCTCCGCCTGTCCAAATTTGGGGGCTTCAGAAGGCAGGCAGGGGTGAGTGACTGCCCCGCCAGCCTCAGAAGAGGTCCTGGACCTCTCTGAAGGCCGCGGGGCCGGGTGCGCCTGGCCCCCCCACCTGCCTCGTGCTGCCCACTAAGGCCCACCCCCAGCACTGCCGCTGCTGCGGAGCTGCTGCATGTCGAGCACCCATGGCTACCCTGAGATCAGCGCGCCGAGAGCCATGCTGGACTTCCAGATAGCTGGGCCGGGCCGTTTGCGGAGAGGCCAGGTATGCTGAAGGCCTGCGCGCTGAGATCAGCGCGCCCAGGCTCTCGCGGGACTCCCGCGAGCAGCGGGCAGCGCTGCCGCCAGTTTTTTTGCGGAGAGCCAGCCGCATGCCGGGGCCTGCGCGCGCGCTGGAGATCAGCGCGCCCAGGCTTCCTGCTGACTCCGCGAGCAGCGGAGCGCGCCGCGCCGAGTTGCCGCACTGCCGGCCCGCGCGCGCTGAGATCAGCGCGCCCAGGCTCGCGGACCCTCTCCCGGGCCTCAAAAGCCGGGCCCGGGATAGCCGGAAGCGCTCCTGCCATCCCCGGACTGCCAGGTGCTGCTGCGTGGAGCAGCCTTCGCCCCGCCTAGCCTTCCTGGACCTTCTGAAGGCCGGAGGGGGGGGCGGTTCCTCACCGCTAGCACTGGTGAGGTCCTCGAGAGCCTCCCCATGGGCTTCGCCCTGCGGGCGCTTCCATAGGGAAATGAGCGATAAGCGCCCAAAACGGGAAAACCCTTTGCCTAGCGTGGTTCTTCCGGTCTTCTGCAGGCGTCTGGCTCCTGCGGGGCACCACTGTATACCCCTTTCCAGTTCCCTCCTCCTTTCTCCTCCCTCAGGAGTTCCTCTGAGCATGAACAGAAAGCTGTCTTGGGACTATTGTGGACTCTTGGCAGGAAAGGGGGTGAGGGGGTTTCAGTGTGTTCCAGTTGTTTCATTCTTGAGCTTTGGCATGGTTCCCGGAGAGAAAGCAAGTTGCAATGTGGTTCTGAGAAAGGCCTGAGAAGACAATGGGCTCTGTTCTCTACCTTGTTGCAATCTTTTTAGTTACAGCAAGCGGAATGTTTCTGATGCTTAGCTGCTGAGAAAATGATTTTGAAAAGCTTTGAGAAGCTTTGAGCCTGCTTGGGGGGGGGGTGACGACTTCGGGCCTAGGTGAGGTCACCTGTCCTCACCTTCCTTCAGTACGTGCAGTTATGAACATTACCATATATCTAAGACCATAATATTCCTATCACAATCCCCTTGCCCGTCCTCACACTTGACCAACCCCTCTCCCTTTGCACTTCACCCACCCCCTCGCCTATCTCCCCAAAGTTTGCCCCAAGCCCCTCCCCTCTTAACTAAAGCCCCTCCCCTCTCACTCCGTCCCACCTATTTTAAAAGGGAGGAGGGGCTTCACCCAGCTAAACTGCTGAGCGAAGGGCCTTCCCCCTCCGTTCATCCTCACTGCAGACATCATTATCATCATCATCATTTATTTGTACCCCACCCATCTGGCTGGGTTTTCCCAGCCACTCTGGGCACCTTCCAACAAAAGATTAAAAATACATTAAAATACCAGACATTAAAAACTTCCCTAAACAGGGCTGCCATCAGATGTCTTCTAAACGTCAGATAGTTGTTTATCTCTTTGATATCTGATGTGAGGGCGTTCCACAGGGAGGGAACCTCCCGAAGGCCCTCGGAGCTGGACCTCAGTGTCCGGGCTGAACAATGGGGGTGGAGATGCTCCTTCAGGTATAATGGACCAAGGCCGTTTCGGACTTTAAAGGTCAGCACCAGCACTTTGAATTGTGCTTGGAAACGTACTGGGAGCCAATGTCGGTCTTTCAAGACCGGTGTTATGTGGTCTCAGTGCCCACTCCCAGTCACCAGTCTAGCTGCCACATTCTGGATTAGTTGCAGTTTCTGGGTCACCTTCAAAGGTAGCCCCACGTAGAGCGCATTGCAGTAGTCCAAGCGGGAGATAACCAGAGGATGCACCACTCTGGTGAGACAGTCTGCGGGCAGGGAGGGTCTCATCCTGGGTACCAGATGGAGCTGGTAAACAGCTGCACTGGACGCAGAATTGACCTGCGCCTCCATGGACAGCTGTGAGTCCAAAATGACTCCCAGGCTGCGCACCTGGTCTTTCAGGGGCACAGTTACCCCATTCAGGACCAGGGAGTCCTCCGCACCTGCCTGCCTCCTGTCCCCCCAAAACAGTACTTCTGTCTTGTCAGGATTCAACCACAATCCTGGCAATGCCCCCACCAGCAGCTGGTGGGCACGCGCACCTCCCCAGGCTCCCGATCGGGTGCTCCACCGCTGCGTTCATTCATAGTATTTCTCTCCATTTTCCCTTGGTTTCTCATTTTTCTAATCTTAAATAAAGTCCACCAAATTCCTTTGTCCACTAGCAGATTTGTTTCTTTTTTTTTAAGTACAGTGGTACCTCAGGTTACAGACGCTTCAGGTTACAGACTCCGCTAACCCAGAAATAGTACCTCGGGTTAAGAACTTTGCTTCAGGAGGAGAACAGAAATCGCTCATCGGCGGCACAGCAGCAGCAGGAGGCATCATTGGCTAAAGTGGTGCTTCAGGTTAAGAACAGTTTTAGGTTAAGAACGGACCTCCAGAACGAGCTAAGTTCTTAACCCGAGCTACCACTGTATTGATGACAATTAATCAGCTGCTTAGGGCACATTTTCCCCAACAGTTACCCCCTTGTAGGCATGTTTTGCCTAATAGGCACATTTTTGCTAATTTCCTTAATATACAGTGGTACCTCGGGTTACATATGCTTCAGGTTACATACGCTTCAGGTTACAGACTCCGCTAACCCAGAAATAGGACCTTGGGTTAAGAACTTTGCTTCAGGATAAGAACAGAAATCGTGCTCCAGCAGTGAGACGGCAGCAGGAGGCCCCATTAGCTAAAGCGGTGCTTTAGGTTAAGAACAGTTTCAGGTTAAGAACGGAACTCTGGAACGAATTAAGTACTTAACCCGAGGTACCACTGTAATCCATTTTATTCTGTCATTTTCCACCAACATTATATTTTTATAATTATATTTTCATAACTGTTGTTTTTTTTTACTTGTAAAGTGCTTAGAAGCCATTCTGGAAAGCAAGCAGTATTTAAATTAAATACTACCTCTACCACTACTACTAATAATAATGCATTTTGAAGCCTATTGTCTCCTAATATATACATTTTTTAATACAATGCTATTGTACAAATAATTATCCTCCCCTCCCTTTTGGGTGGGATAATATTTATGAAATTTTTAAAGCTATATATTTTAGTTGTGTTGTTTCCTGATGTTGTATCTTGCTGTTTTGACATTTTCTATATGATTTGCATTTTGCATTTATTTTGCTTACAGATATTTATTTGTCTTATATGCTAATGTATGTTGTTCTGACATATCCTTGTTTCGTCATGTCGCTTAAAATGTGGCTTTTTAAATATTAGTGTTATTAGCAGTCGCATTGAATGTGGAATGTGTGTTTTTGTTGAGATGTGCAAACCACTTTGAGAGTTCTGCTGGAATGTAAAGCAGGGTGCAAGTTGGTTAGATCAATAAATGAACATTATGGCAAAAGCTCCTAAGGACACACCTGAAATGGCTTCATAACATAGTAACCAAGGAACCACCACCTAGGGTTGTCATATTTTTAAAAGTACAAACCAGGACACCCCAAATGTTGTTGAGCTTTCTTTAGAAAGACCCCAAGATCTCAAGATTACATTTTGCCTTGCTGCTTCGTCAAAGCTGAGTTTTAAAATGAGCAATTTGTTGTGTCCGGCTGCTAAAAATAACATGACCAGCGGCCTCTGCTGTGCCCCTTTCCAGAAGGGTATTATCTGATGTGAATCATGCACAGTTGCTTAAGAAGCAGTTATTTAACCAGCAGAACTTCCCCAAGTGGGGTTTATTGTTCAATGGAAGCTGCAACGCGGAAAGCAATTGCCCAGATTTAGAAAGTTGCACAGGCCCGCCGAACACTGAGTGTTGTTTTGCCACAGCGTGAGTCTGTTTCACACAGGTTACATGATGATTTCCTTTGGGGTGTGTTCTCATGCACTATTGCTGTAATATATGGAACTGTTATATCAACAGGTTGCACTGAAGAAGAAGAAGAAGAGTTTGGATTTGATATCCCGCCTTTCACTCCCCTTCAGGAGTCTCAAAGCGGCTAACCTTCTCCTTTCCCTTCCTCCCCCACAACAAACACTCTGTGGGGTGAGTGGGGCTGAGAGACTTCAAAGAAGTGTGACTAGCCCAAGGTCACCCAGCAGCTGCATGTGGAGGAGCGGAGACACGAACCCGGTTCCCCAGATTACGAGACCAGCGCTCTTAACCACTACACCACACTGGCTCTCACACTGATGGCCTTTTATACCGTTTCCCAAAACCTTTTCAGGCCAACACCCCTTTAGTTCCATACGCTCAAGCCCAGTGCCCTCTACCCTGTAGACAACATTATTCAGAAGAGTGGTTTGCACAACCTGGATAGCTCAGTTGGTCAGAGCATGGTGCTGATAATGCTAAGGTCACAGGTTTGATCCCCGTATGGGTCAGCTGCATATTCCTGCATTGCAGGGGGTTGGACTAGATGATCCTCAGGGTCCCATCCAACTCTACAATTCTATTATTCTATGACCCACTAAAGAAGATAATGGAGTTTTCTTGGCAGGGATACTGGAAATTACAAAATTAAAAGACGCCTGCTTCTTGGGAGAAAAGCAATGACAAACCTAGACAGCATCTTCAAAAGCAGAGACATCACCTTGCCGACAAAGGTCCACATAGTTCAAGCTATGGTTTTCCCAGTAGTGATTTATGGAAGTGAGAGCTGGACCATAAAGAAGGCTGATCGCCAAAGAATTGATGCTTTTGAATTCTGGGGCTGGAGGAGACTCTTGAGAGTCCCATGGACTGCAAGAAGATCAAACCTCTCCATTCTGAAGGAAATCAGCCCTGAGTGCTCACTGGAAGGACAGATCCTGAAGCTGAGGCTGCAAGGCTTTGGCCTCCTCATGAGAAGAGAAGACTCCCTGGAAAAGACCCTGATGTTGGGAAAGATGGAGGGCACCAGGAGAAGGGGGCGACAGAGGAAGAGATGGGTGGACAGTGTTCTCGAAGCTACCAGCATGAGTTTGACCAAACTGCGGGAGGCAGTGGAAGACAGGAGTGCCTGGCGTGCTCTGGTCCAGGGGGTCACGAAGAATCGGACACAACTAAATGACTAAACAACAACAAAAGAAGATAATAACACAATAAAATTCAAAACAGCAACTATTTGTTCAAAATCCAGTTCAAACTATTTAGTTGCATTAATACAACAACGTGGATGAACTTGATCCAGGGCGTCCAGCTATTACCAGTAACTAGAAATCTTGTGATTTCCATAAGTACAGTGGAACCTCAGTTGTCGAACGTAATCCGTTCCGGAAGATCGTTTGACTTCCGAAACGTTCAACAACCAAGGCTCAATGGATGGTTGGCAAAGTCCATTGAGAAAATGGAGAAACGGGCCTCGGAAGCCGTTCGACTTCCAAGACGTGTTGAAAAATGGAAGCAATACTTCCGGGTTTTTGATGTTCGAAAACCGAATTGTTCGGCTTCTGAGACACTAAAAAACTGAGGTTCCACTGTACAAACAAGAGTGAGCAGAGGAAATAACTTTGAAAGCAATAAGAGCAGTAAAACTTTACAGTGGTATCTCGGGTTAAGAACTTAATTCGTTCCGGAGGTCCGTTCTTAACCTGAGGTACCACTTTAGCTAATGGGGCCTCCCGCTGCCACAGCCGCATGATTTCTGTTCTCATCCTGAAGCAAAGTTCTTAACCCGAGGTACTATTTCTGGGTTAGCGGAGTCTGTAACCTGAAGCGTCTGTAACCTGAAGCATCTGTAACCCGAGGTACCACTGTATTTATAAGGACACTGGACAACAATGGGCCCAGGACAGAACCCTGCAACACCCCACTTGTCGCTTTTTTCCAGGACGATGAGGAACCATCAGTGAGCACTCTTTGGGTTTGGTCAGTCAATGTCCTGAAACCCAGTGTCAACCTAAAGCACGATGAGTCGCAACTTCCATTCCCTGTCCAGCTTTCAGTGCTTTTTGAATATCTATACTGGGTTCTGTCAATAAGCATCACATGAGCATATATCAGCAATATCTGGAGGACCACAAGTTCTGGGTTCTGAATTCTGGGTTAGCGGAGTCTGTAACCTGAAGCGTCTGTAACCCGAGGTACCACTGTAAATACAAAGCGAGAAAGGTGTTGTGGCAATCACACAGGGTCCCCAGACATTTCACCGTCTATTGATCCCTGTGCCACCACTTGATTTCTCGCTGCCACCACCCAGCCCCTACCTGGTACAATACTGAGTCCAGTCAGGGTTAAATTGGAACATAAACTTCTGTTTATTTATTGCAGTTTAACAAGAGTGTGGTTTCATAAACGGTATCGGTCAATTACAATCATGGGGTGCCTATCCTTACCTATAACTTCCGCTACCTGCTCTCACTCACTAAACCAGCTCTCAGATATTTACTTGTCTTCCTAGCTCCTAACTGTTCCTGACTCAGCTGATTTCACTACGCTAACTCAACCTCCCCACAGACTCTATCCCAATTCACTCCCACTCCAACCAACCACCCAATGAACTCCTCCCTTCGCCCCTCCCAGAGCTGGTTTTATAGTCCCTCTGACTCCACCCTCCGGGTTCTGATTGGGTAACCTGTTTAACTATTTCACCTCCAGCACTCTCATATGTTAACGTCACAGGTGTTTCGCTCTAGCCTGGTCAATCATTGATAAGAGATGAATGCATCCAAAAGGGTCCATCTCCAGCGCCCCCCTGCTGCCTCCTGCCTCTTAGCACCCCTTAGGCAATCCCACCCACTTGGGGATTGACTGTTTTATATGTTCCACAGATCTCACTGACTTTGCCTGTGACTTTAAATGCCTTTCTGGGCTCCAATCAGGATTACCCAGTTTCCACAACAGCCCCTACAAGTGCCCCTGTTTTCCAGGGACGTCCCTGATTTAGAGAAGTCATCCCGGTTTCTGATTCAATCCTGGAATGTCCCGCTTTTCCTAAGTATGTCCCTAAGTATGTCCAATGCTGTATAGGAATTTAAATAATAATAATAATAATTAATGTTTTATTACATTTCTATATACAGTCATACCTTCGTTTCTGAACAGCTTAGTTCTCGAATGTTTTGACTCACAAACGCTGCAAACCCAGAAGTGACTGTTCTGGTTTGCAAACTATTTTTAGAAGCCAAATGTCCGATGGGGCTTCCGTGGCTTCT